GCACAGAATGATTGTCATGCGCACCCTTAGCAAATAGGTCATAAATGGGTATATGTATAATATGAGTGTTAAGTTTGTCGTAAATTGATTATAAATGGGTTTATAACTTATTTAAACTCAACTGATCTCTCTCGCTCTTACTCAATCTCGCGCTCACTCACTATGCACTCTCGTATCTGTTTAGGTATGAGTTTTTCTAGATTTAATTAAATATCAAAGTGTTTTGGCAATATAGGTTGGATCGGGTATGGGTCAAGAAAATTGCATTATGCATAAATGGGTTAATGAGTCAATTTGGATCGGACTATTTGTGACTCGACCCAAACCCGACCCGACTCATCCATTTGACAGGTCTTTTACTCAACTCTCAGTTTTCAAATTGGGATTACCATAATTTTTTTTATACAATAAGCAATAATTAAATAAGGCATTTTAAAAAGGGAGAAGTTGTTTCCAGGTTTACACATGGAAATTCCTTGCAATTTGAAGCTTGTTCGAATTATGTTGAAATTATGAAAGTGTGAGGAAGGAGTGTAGTTGACGAAGCGTTGTAATTTCGTATGGTATCCAAAAAGCCCTAAATCTATTATACGACGGGCAGTTCAATTCTAAACTTTTCAATTTTACTAATTCAATTTTAAACTTTTTGACAATATGTCAATTATGCCAATATAGTCATTCCTACTAATTTTGATCGAAAATTACTGATATCCATGTTAGTGATTGCTGATCAAAATTGGCCGGAATGACTATATTAAAAAATTGTCAAAAATTTTAGAACTGAATCATCAAAATCGAAAATTTTAGGACTGAATTGACCGCAATATAATAGATTTAAGATTTTTTTGATAATTTTTCCTATTATTACATCTTAAGAAAACTCGATGCGAGTCCGCCGATCGTGTGGAGGTGGGCCCGCACTAATGCCGTGTGGGACCCTTGTCGTCATAATCTGCTGTACTGGGCCGACATTGTAGGCCCGTTGATATGACCGTGGTCAAGATGCAAATTAGCATCGAATATAAATCGTGCGGTAGCGATCGATGACCAAAATCCTAGTGGGCCATTAGTGCCCTACACCAATCCTCCACTAATTGAATTTGATCTTTTGAGTGATAAGGCTAATGACGGGGGACATTATATCTAATATCGCTTATTCACTTTAAGGATTAATATTACGAAAAATCTCAAACTGATATACTTGCGACAAATTTATCAAAAACTATTTTTTTTACTACGAAAAAATCCCAAACCGGTACACTTGTGATAAATTTACCCAAAACTAATATTTTGACCACCAAAAACCCTAAAATGGTATATTTATGATAAATTTATTCTCCATTAAATTGGATTAATAATAAAAAATCACAAACTAGTATACCCATGACAAACGGAGGATAAAACTCCAAATTAGTACATCCGTCAACTGTTACGTGTCATTTTACTCAATAAGCTGATGGTAAAATTTAACGGAAACTAACGGAGGGTAAATTTGTCACAGGTGTACCAGTTTGGATTTTCGATGATCAAAAAATTAGTTTTGGATAAAATTATCATAAATATACCAGTTCAAGATTTTTCATGATATTCTTACTTTAGTTATCGATGACTAGGATCATGATTACCTGATTGATATCATTAGCTAGCAAGATGCAAACGTGGAAAAATCATGACATCTCAGCTTTCTGAACACATTGGAGTGCGAAGCAACTTAAAAAATAATAATTAATTCGAAGTAACGCAAAAAAAAAATGATATAACTTTAAAAACGCTACTACTTAAAGGAAAATAAAAAAAAATAGTTTCGTTTTCTCGGATCAAATCAAAGGACAACTTTTCTTTCCTACGCAGCTCGTGTTTATCGCCATTAATTACAAATGACTTTATTCCTTCTAAGGGTGCGTTTGATAACTGGCCAAATAGTAACTGATTCTATTCTTTTGTTTCAGGGAACAAAAAAAGAACAGAAATTCATTTAGTAAATTTTTTGTTCTCGGGTACAAATTTGCACAAATTTGTTCCCAGAATCAGTTTTGGAACAGAATCTCCTGGGAACAAGAATCAGAAAAGGAAAATAATTTTTTCTTCTTCTTCTTCTTTTTCTTCTTGGGTTGCGTTTGGCAACTTGCCAAATAGTGACTAAGGGTGCGCATGACAATCATTCTGTGCCCAGGAACTATTTCTACTCAGAAATGATTCTTTTTTATTCTGTGTCCGGAAACAATTTCTGAGCATTTGAAGGCGTTTGGTAACTGTCCAAAATTTCTATTCCTGGGATAGAAAAAAACAGAAATACGTTTTGTAACTACACAAAATTTCTTTTTATTAATAATATTTTAAATTGTTTAATATTTTTTTCTTTTTTTTTCTTTCTACCTTTCCCTTCTTTGGCCATGGCCGGTCGCCGGCGCTGGCGACCGTCCACAGGCCAGGGCGTCGCGGCCCTCGCCGCCGCCCTAGCCGCCTGCCTCACCGCCGGCCTCGCCCAGATCAGGCGAGGCCGAGCCTCGTCGTCGCGACCCACAGTGAAGCTGACCTCGCCATCAGTCGCGACAGCGAGGCTCGGCCTCGCCCGATCTGGGCAAGGCTGACCTCGCCATGATCGACGGCGAGCCACCTCGCCCAGGCGGCGAGGGTCCAGCCCTCACCCTCGCCGGCAAGGGTCCAGCCCTCACCCTCGCCGGCAAGGGCCGTGACGCCCTCGTCGGTAGGGGTGAGCGGTTCCCGGTCCGGTCCGGTTCCAAGGTGGAACCGGGAACCGGACCGAGAGAACCGGTTCCCAATTTTGGGAACCACGGACCGGACCGATTGGTTCTAGGACCGGGAACCGGTTACTTAGAGTTTAGGGTTTTTTTTTTGGTCAAACACTTAAGGTTTAGTTCACATTTTACTAATTTTTGTCAATGAAGTTCACTTAGGGTTTAATTCGCATTTTACTATTTTTTATCAATGAATTTATGATAATGAAGTTCACTTAGAGTTTAGTTCACATTTTATTATTTTTTTAAAGAAAAAAATAACAAAAATATATATTAAATAGTCGGTCGGTCCGGTTCCCCTTGGGCGGAAGGCAGACCGCCCGAAACCGGTTCCGCTTTTAGGAACCGGGAACCGGACCGATAGTCCCGAGAACCGGACCAAACTCGTCGGTCCGGTCCGGTCCCGGTTTGGGCGGTCCAAGTTGCTCACCCCTACTCGTCGGCCCTGGGCTTTGGCCGGTCGCCGGCGACCGGCCACAGCCCAGGGAAGAACAACACAAAGAAGAAAAGAAAAAAAAGAAAAAGAAGAAAAAGAACTCATTCTCAAAATTGTGCCGAGAAACAAGAAGCAACTTTTTTTTACTTCTTGTTTCTCTTCCAAAACTGTTTTTGGGTACAAATTTTTGCAAAAATGTGCCCGGGAACAAAAAGTTTACCAAACGCATTTCTGTTCCCAAACTATTTCTGGGAACAAAAGAACAAAAATTTTCACTGTTTGGCACGTTTCCAAACGGGTCCTAATTCTATTTTTTTGTTCCCAGAATTAGTTTCAGAACAGAAATCCGTTTGGTAAATTTTTTATTCCCGGGCACAAATTTGCAAAAATTTATTCCCAAAATCAGTTTTGGAGCAAAATCAAGAAGCAAAAAAAAAGTTACTTCTTGATTCTGGGAATAAGAATCAGAAATGGAAAAGAAATTTTTTTTCTTTTTCTTCTTCTTCTTCTTCTTCTTGGTCTTTGGTTGGTTGCCGGCTGCCGATCACCGGCAACCTCCCACAGGCCAAGGTCGGCGAGGGCATCGTGGCCTTCGCTGGATCTGATGTGGGCGACCCTCGCCGCCGCCCTCGCCCAGGCCTCAAGACGCCCTCACCTGTAGCCGACAAGGGTCGCGACGCTCTCGTCGGCCCTGGCCTGTGGCCGGTCATCAGCGCTGGCGACCTGGCCATGGCTAAGGAAGGGGAAGGGAAAGGGGAAGAAAAAAAAGAAAAATTCAAAATATTATTAATAAAAAAATTTTATGCAATTACCAAAAGCATTTATGTTATTTTTTTATTTCAAGAATAGAAATTTTGGGCAGTTACCAAACACCTTCAAATGTTTAGAAATTATTCCCGGGCATGGAATAAAAGAGAATCATTTCTGAGTAGAATCAGTTTTCAGGAATAAAATGGTTGCCAAACGCACCCTAAGTAACAAAATATTTTTCGACCAAAAAAAAGTAACAAAATATTGGATACACTAGCAGAAGTGTATGCGTTTTTCATGCATGCAAAAGTTGACATTTGGGAACTTATGCAAAATCGCCTAGTTACGGAATATTTGAGGCATTCATCAATGGAAAGAAATTATTTACACGGTATTGAGAACTGGTGCGTATATTTGAAAAGAGAAAAATTACAATATTGTTCATAAGATGAGAAATATTCAAAATTTTAAGATCAAAATACTCGAGAGATAAAACAGAACTATAATTAACACATTTATCAGTTAATAGGATATTTATAAAATAGCCGGTTGAGTATATTTTAAGGAAGAAGAAGAGGAAAAAGGGATCGCGAGACTTGAAAAATAGACCCGATCGTGGTTCCGGGTGGCCACGAGCCTGCCCAAGCCCGACTCGAGCTGTAAAGGCCCAAAGCATTTCCGTGTGAACTTGGATAAGGGTATTCAATGAAAAGCCTAACTCGAAAAATTATATGCTTCATAAAAATAATGATGGCAGGATTTGGTCGAAAACTTTAAGGCCGGTCTCGCGGATGATCACCTATACCAAAATGTAGAGATACCTTATATAACTGTATATATAAGGTATACAACATTTTTCTGTAGAATTAATAATATAAATTTATCCCTTTTTTTTTTTTGGGGTCGCTTTATCGCTTTCAAAGACGGCGTCGTCTCGTCCGTGGCAGGGGAAGCTGCAAGCACGACGTCGTCTTCGTCCGGGCCGGAACCTGCAGCTTCGGGAGTTGAATTTTTCATGCTTCTGCACAACGCCATAAAAATTCCACGACACCCCCCGAAAGCGTTCTTCCGCTCGCCTTCTTTCCCTTGCTCCGCAACGACCAGCCGAAGTCGGTTTCGCTCTCTCGTCGAATCCGCAGCACCACCGGAGGAGAGCGGCCATGGCTATGCAAACTGGGATAGGGCTCTCGAAGATCCTGGTCCTCGTCGGAGCTGGTTGGTTCAGCTCTCTCTCTCTCTCTCTCTCTCTCTCTCTCTCTCTATCGGCGCTCGCTAATCGCTTACTTGTAGATTAGTAGTGCGATCCTGTCCTCGCGATCTGAGAGCGCTGCGTGGTTCGTTCTCTTCTGCAGGCTACACTGGCACGGTACTGTTCCAGAACGGGAAATTGTCCGACTTGCTGGGCGAGCTCCAGGTACGGATGCCGAAAAAACCGGCTACTTTTGCTTTCTCGCGGTCAAAGTTCGGCTCGTATTGTTTAGCTTTGAGTGTTTAGTATAGAAAGGGAAGCGGTCGATTCTTGTTTTGTGTCGATTTCGTTGAGTGCGATTCGGCCCCCGTTGATCACGGCCTTTGTGTTGATTTTTACGCGGGGGGGGTTCGAGATGGGGTTACGGGAGCTGGAGAGAGGGAGGAATTGGTCAAGAGCGTGCCTGAGATTTGAGGTTCTTGGAATAGGTTTTAAGTTTGAGCTGGGTCTCTGCTGGATTGGTCTTGGAAATGTTGGGCTCGGCAATCAATGTCTTCTTTCGTTCTATGACTTCATCTATGTTCGGTAAATATGTTGATCTAGCACATAGAGGGTAAGGAGTGGAAGACCATAGCCATTTTTTATGCAATTACCTGTACACTGGTATTTAAGATGAGTACTTTGCCAGTATGAGTGATAATTGTTGTCATTCTTGCGATCCACTCTGTTGGGATTTAGTGGCATTTTCTTCCTGTGCCCTAAGCAGGGTTTGGTGAAGGGATTAGAAAAATCTGGTAGCCAACCAGATGGAGATACAGACTATGCTGATGCTGTTGCCGCACAGGTAATAGACATAAATACAAACATCCTGCTTATGAATGGCTTTCGTGGTGGGGTTAACAATTGGGTATTTGACCTTCTGCTCAGGTGCGTCGATTGGCAATGGAGGTCCGACAGCTAGCCTCTGCACGTCAAATAACTGTCCTGAATGGAAATTCTAGCCAAATGGGTACTCTCCCTCTCCCTCTCTCTCTCTCTCTCTCTCACACACACACACACACACACACACACACACACACACACACACACACACACACACTCACACACACACTCCTTTGCAACATATGTGTTCCCCTTTCACCACACAGCCCTAAAGATTTTGAAGCCCATAGCCAGGCATTGCCTTCCAAGTCAAACTAGTCGGAGAATGCGCTATATTTATCTTTATCATGCATCCAAAATTTTGATGTGGTATATATATGATGTATCTATCTAACATTCAAGTTCTTAAAGGTTCTTTATCTTTCCATATCACGTGCATTCACCTTATGCTACTAATGAAGCATCTCTGATATACTTTTCCTTTCACTGTTCCCCAGGCAACCTAACTTCTATGGTTGTTCCAGCAGCTACACTGGGGGCACTGGGTTATGGCTACATGTGGTGGAAGGTATTTAGGAATATCAAAACTGCTTCAGGTTTCCATGCTTCTTTTGCACATCTCCGAGGGCTCGTTTCCTAAAATTGAATACTAAGTGTTTGGTAATTTAAGTACAGAATATTAGATGTTGAAGTTTTTAATCACTGAAAACGAAAATAAAAAGTTGTTTGATAACAGATGAAAATTGAATAATAGATTCTACTAGTTACTTACCATGTCTTTAACCCAATAATTGGTAAGATTTCAATTTCATGAATAATTTGTTACAGAACCAGTTAAGTAAGCCCTTTCTTACTTACTGTATTAAGTTATTTATTATTTAAACAACCAATTAAGTTATGTGCAGTTACAGGTTATCAGCCGCATCTAATGACATTAAGTGCCGTAAAATTTAATTTTCGGTGCTTACTCTGTTTATCAAAAAAACCGTAGGTATACTCCAAGTTAAGCTTAAATTCATTTGCGGTCCTTGCACCGACCCCCCATGCCCAACCCAGGGATAGAATATAAGAATGGCTGACTTGCTTATTGTAACTTTGATCTTTAATCACTCTGCATGAAGGTAGTTATCCCTGCATTATAAACTGTTCATTGATCGCATTCCATATATTCTGATTTCATCAATCACTTTTATAACGTTCATTACTCAATCTTATTTGTTGATTTGAGAGATTTACATTTTTTCTCTTTAAACTCACTTTTCTAATGCCCATTGTCATCTAACTTACAAGCAATGTTCTACATGGAGTAATCTTCTTTTTCTTTCAATTGCAGGGTCTTTCGTTCTCAGATCTCATGTATGTAACTAAGCGCAGTATGGCCAATGCTGTGGCAAACTTGACCCAACATCTAGAGCATGTGTCAGAGGCTCTCAACGTAAGTTCGCATTTTAGTTTATGTGGATTTTAGGAAATAGTTTATGCAGTACGTTGCTTTGAATGACTTCAAAATTTAAATTATTAGTTGGCATTAAGAGCTTTTTAATTGTTATTTCCTCTTTGATTTTCTACCATCTGATTTCTTCATCTTCTTCTGATGCTTATTAATGGGCTAATTTTCACCATTCTTTTGTGACAGGCGGCAAAGAGACATCTAACCCAGCGAATTGAGAACTTGGATGGCAAAATGGATGACCAGAGGGAGCTATCGAAAGAAATAAAGAATGAGGTATCTTCTCTCTTCGTTGATTTATATGCACAGTTGAACTGTTGGAGTTGTAGATATCCAGAAAACATGAGATCATCTTTACTTGGTACCATTTTGTTCTGGAAAAGTAATTCATTAAGGTTTTGGTTGGTTGTACTTGACAACTTTTAAGCGCCATATAAGTCTTGTTATTTTTTTTTAGACATTGTTAAGTCTCTAAAGTTCTTATTGTGCTATGGTCAGGTACATATCATGGCATGGATTACAGCTTTATAGTTCTGTTCAAATTTTGAATTTTAATTATAAGCTCCATTTGTTTCGTGGAAAATGAATGATTTGGAAAATATTTTCCTAAAAATGATCGCCTGTACCGCTTGAAATATTTAGTCAATGAAAATATTTTCAATATCGACAATAATTTATGTCTGAATATTTTTTGTGGATGATGAAAATACTTTGCAATTCATTCATTTCTGTAAGTGATATAAGCGATTATTTCTGGGAAAATATTTTCCAAATCATTAATTTTCCATGAAACAAACAGAGCATCTTATTCTATTCTAGCAGTTTCTTAATCAGCTATTTTTTGTTCTCTGACTCAGGTTTCTTCTGTTAAAGCCAATCTTGATGGTCTGGGTGGTGACCTGGATTTTTTGCAGAGAATGGTTTCCAATTTGGTGAGTTTTAGTTTACTGAGATTCTCATTGACTTTCCAGAGTGATGAAATCATGAAACAGTTTGAGGATCTTGAAATGCGATATTTCTTAGATCCAATTTAAACATTTTCAAAGTGAAATTACATTGGTTGCTGCTAATATACTTTTTGCCCCTTATCAATAACTGTTTTTCGAAGGGAGAATCAAATGCTTCTGATTGATCCCTAAGCAACTTGCATCTGTATGTACATGGTAATCTCAATCTGGCAAGTTCCTCATTGCTGTTATTTTTGTGCTTGTAGGATGTACGAATGGGATCACTGGAGTACAAGCAGGTCAAAATAACCTTTCTTATTATGAAATTCTGTGATCACATGCACACGCGCACATGGAATCATGTAGCATTTTGTTTTTTATTCGTGTGTGTGTAGCGTATCCATTATCAGTATGCGTCATTATAACTGTTGAACTTGGGAGATTCTGTTTTGGGATTCTCTCGGACTAGGTTGGACACTATCCAACACAATAAAAAAAGAGTAATTGTAATGTGTATTTTATCTATCTTTTGTATTGAAATTGATGTCATATTTTGTCATGTTCTTGTTGGTTTGGTGTTGCTTAATGAGGAAAGGCTATGTGTGTCAATGTTTTTGGGTATAGCTCCTGCACTACCAATCTCTCTGGACAAAATTTGGTATGAATCATACATATTTTTATTTGCTATGCAATAAATTACAGGCTTAAATACTTTTAAGCTGAACTAGTTATCTCGACGCTCGATTAGGCTTAAATACTTTTAAGCTTAACTAATTATCTTGACGTTCGATTAGTATTAGTGTTGTGATTCTTCTGGTGTGAAATTTCTGAATTTATTCTGCTATCCTCAGTCCTGCCTCTTTACCCGCATGGAAGTTCAAGTATGTATTTGTGTGGCGACAGGATTGGGCGAATGAGGGTGTGAGGTATCTCTGTGGTGTGGCCAGTGGACAGAAGGTGGAAATGCCAAAAATGCTGCAGGTTGTCATCTCCTCCTCCTCCTACCTTCTCTCTGCAATTGTTTAATTAATCATTTTGACCAACGGTTCTGATATTTCATATATCAGCATATAGAATCTTGACTTGCTTTCCCCACCTATTTTCCCTTTTGACTTCCCAGTGAAGAAAAGAGTTCTTCATTTGTTGGAACCTTTTTATAGAAAGGAATTTTAAAGAGTTTGTCTATCGACTGACAGTTTTTTAAAATATTTCTTACAGGAGCAAATTAAGATTTCAGGATCGTCTCGAGGATTACTCTCATATGCGGATACTCCAAGTCTTAAGGTTCCTGCTTTCCCTTGAACTTTGACTTTTTGACTTCTACCAAGTGAAGAAAAGGGTTCTTCGGGTCTATTAAGTTTTCTGATATTGTGCCCTGCTGTCTTTGATGCACAATTTGTCAGATTGTAATTTTTTTTATTTGGTGTTGAAAGTGTTAATGGATGAAGTGGTGAGTGCAAATGGCAGACATTGCACGGACCTTCATTCTTTCAAGGCTAACAAACGTCATTCTTGGTCTGTAGTAGGAAAGAAAAGGTCTATCTGCAAATAGTGTTGGGTTTATGGGAAGAATCTTTTTTTGAATTAAACATGGTCTGTTAAGAGTCTTAAGACTTTTTTTGATAGTTTGGAATTTTTGCCTCCCAAGAAGTCTCTTTTCCTGTGGCAGATAATATGCTATGTCGTTTATGCCTCTGCAAAAGTGGTTGAATTAGGTATTATGGCGTTTGATATCAATAATCTGCTCCTTGCTCTCAGGGTCTGAAGGACATTGCTGATGCATTGACCTTAAGTATTGATATATCAGCTTCAGATGCTGTTGTGCAAGATGGAGTCGACAGATTAAATGGAAAACCAAAGCCATTGCCAAGGTATGATATAGAACTCTTTTTGATGTTTTACTGCTCCATCACACATATAATGCTTCCCTTTTGTGGGCACATGCCTAGAATACTTGTTTTGCTTGATCTTTTTACTCTTTCCTCCCTTTACACGTGTGGATTCATTTCAACTTTAGCCTATATTTCGTATGCAAATCACTTGCAGCATCTATTACTCTCACAGACGCAGATTGCATGTTATTACTGTGGTATTGCAGTGCAGAGGTGCATAAAAAGCATAGACCATTTTCAATGTATTCTTGTGTTTGGGTATAATCCCAGTCCCCAGTTGTGTCGTGTTTTGTGGTCTTTGCATATTTAACTTTATCAGGTTTACATTGAAAGTTGGTGAAGAGTACTAAGTAAGATGGTTAGATGATTTGACTTAGGCTTGCTTATGCAGCTCCATTCAGCAAATACTCTCAAGTTGCCCTTTTTTTGGACTAATCTATCTACCTTGTATCATATGCGTAAAGTTCACTTTGAGATTTATTGGCATCGAGAACGTTCTGAATTGCTTTGTATCACTCATATTTGATGGTGTGGGCATGGATGAATGTCATGCAATGAAGTGTCAGATCTTTTTCTTTCTTCTGTCTTTTTAACCACTTCTTCTTTTTTTTCTGGGGATTATGAGTAGTTGCATCATAAAGCTGCCATAGTTGGGAAAAAGAAGGTTCTGGAATTTATAGAAGTTACATGTCCACTGTCCTTTCTGAAGAGATCATGACTGGGAAATAGTTAATTTCTAAACTTGTAGTATTACCATGGTCATTTGCAGAAACACTAAGGAAAGATTGTTGTTTACACTAAGGTGCTATCTGGCCATGTTTGAAAAGGTCAAGGATGACTTTGTCATGCTATTTATTATGTAATGCTATTTATTATGCTGCAGCAGACTTGATTTGTTTTTATGCGCAGTCCAAACTTGGTTGAATAGTTGCATTAAAACTATGCTGACTACTTGTTTATCTTGTCAGTGATTTGTTTATTGCCAGAAGATACTGGTTGAGTTTGTCTTTTTTGTGCTCGTTTTACCACTACATGGTACTGGTTCTGTTTGTCTGGCTCACTTGCCATGTGCCTTTTAGAACTGATGATGCTGCGATATGGATGTAATATATTTATTTGTCTTAGCTAATAGACAAATTTGTCTATTTATGTGCAGGGCTAGCTCAACCAGGTGTTGATCGCAGAGTAATGTTAAGTGGACCTCGCACTGTGGTTCTTAACCATGGATGTACATGTGCTTGTTATGCCACCTTTTGATTCCTCAAGGTTGGACTTTGGCAGCATTAGTCCTCATTGCAGATTTAATGGTGGATTGGTATATAAATGGAATTCTCTTCCGAAGTATTGAGAGAATGAGAGTTATTATGGCGTTGTGGATTGGTGCCGTCAAAGTAATAATTCAGTGAATCTCATACCGAATGTTCTTTGCCGCTCTTTTTTATTATTTTTTCAGTTATGGTGTGAAAACCTCTGATGCAGTAGGTTTCTGCCCCTTTGTGTTGGGATTCTGGGAGATGATAATGAAATAATTCTAGCATATTCAATCTCTCTCTCTCTCTCTCTCTCTCTCTCTCTCTCTCTCTCTCCATTCACATTATATTTCTGTTTAGTAGACACATGCACAACATATGGGAAGACATTATAAAAGGTCCTGCAATAGTAGATTCGTCCTCTCTTCATATTAAATTTGATTTTGGATTTGCGCACAGGATGCAGCCAGCTGGAAATTCTTTGTAACTTACATTGTAGATCAAGTGGCGTTCCAAGTAAGGGAAATAACCTGTTGAAATGTAAATATTCAAGATGGGTATGTCTGATTCTGGTACATAGTGTTTCATTTTGGTCGTAGGTTTGCATCAACTGCGTCTACTTCAATCGACTGTCTTGTCGGTTTGAGTTCATTGATGGTGACTTCGCAACTGAAAATGGCGAAGAAGAAGAAGAGAAGAGAGCGGCGTTAGAGAGAATACGGTGTGTCACTAGGTTTGACACACTTCTTCTATTTAAAATACATTAGATGGGCCAAGCCCTAAACACCAATAAACAACCATAAAATAATAAATAAAATAAAAAGAAAGAAAGGAGGGGGAAAGCCCACGTGACTTAACACTCCCCCTCAAGCTGGAGCATAGACGTTCATCATGCCCAGCTTGTTACAAATGAACTCTGTCCTCTTTTCAGTACTCGATTTTGTAAGGATGTCAGCAAGTTGATCACTGGTCCGAACATATCCAAATTCGATGACATTCCTGAGCAAAGCATCTCTAACAAAGTGACAATCAACTTCAATGTGTTTAGTCCTCTCATGAAAAACTGGATTATCTCTAATATGTAGGGCTGACTGATTATCACACCATAATTTAGAAGGATAATCAACGGAATAACCTATCTCCGTCAAAAGCTGCTGCAGCCACATAATCTCAGCAGTCGTACTTGCCATTGAGCGATACTCTGCTTCGCAACTAGACCGAGAAACCACATCTTGCTTCTTATTCTTCCACAAGACAAGATTACCACCCATAAATATAGTAAAACCAGATGTAGATCGCCTATCAGCGGGAGATCCAGCCCAATCTGCATCACAAAATGCTTCGATGCGGGAATGTCCATGATTTTGATAGATAACACCCTTCCCAGGGATCCTTTTTAGATACTTTACAATCCGCAGAGCGACCTCCCAATGAGGAACACGAGGGTCGGCCATAAACCGACTAACAACACTAACCTGGAAAGGCAACATCAGGTCTAGTCATAGTGAGATAATTGAGTTTTCCCACTAATCTACGATACCTCTCAGGCTCTGGAATCGGGGCACCTTCTTGTGGCATGAGCTTATCACCAGGAATCATAGGGGACTCGCAATATTTTGCCCTAGACAACCCTGTATCTTGCAATAAATCTAACACATATTTTCTCTGAGACAGAAAAACACCATTCTTACATTTAGAAACTTCAATACCAAGGAAGTATCCTAGAGGACCGAGATCTTTGGTTTGAAACTGACTGTTTAGAAACTCCTTGAGCCTAGAAATGCCTGCTAAGTCACTGCCAGTGATCACAATGTCATCCACATAGACAACCATATAAATACAACCTGCAGGAGAAGTATGATAGAAAACAGAACTATCCTTAATACTCTGCTTCATGTCAAAATCCCGTACAACAGCTGTAGTAAACCTGCCAAACCATGCACGAGGTGACTGCTTGAGACCATATAAGGAGCGACAAAGCCGACAAACCTTATGAGACTCCCCCTGAGCAACAAACCCAGGAGGTTGCTCCATATACACCTCCTCGTCAAGATGTCCATTCAAGAAAGCATTCTTGACATCAAGTTGATGGAGGATCCAATCATGGGAGGCTGCCAGAGAAATAAATAACCGAACGGAGGCCATTTTAGCCACCGGGGAAAAAGTCTCAAAATAATCAACACCATACTGTTGAGCATATCCCTTAGCAACAAGACGAGCCTTCAAGCGAGCAAGCGAGCCATCCGGATTAACCTTGACAGTATAAACCCATTTACAACCAATAGCTTGCTTACCCGTGGGAAGAGGAACAAGCTCCCAGGTCTCATTCTGAACCAAGGCCTGTATCTCATCCACCATTGCAGCACGCCAACCAGAATGAGCCAAGGCATCAGAAACTGATCGTGGAACAGAGATGGAATCCAAAGTGGCAATCAACGCCTGTGTCTGAACTGATAAACCCTTATAAGAGTCGGTATAAACAGGTCTATCACGGCAAGCACGAATACCTTTACGGAGAGCGATAGGCTCATCATCTGAGGGGAGATCCGGTATCAATGCAGAGGTATCCAGCGGAGGTGGCGTTGGCGAAGATGCATTCGGAGGAGGATCCAATGAGTCATCAGAAGGCACATTGGATGGGGTAGAAGAAATCACAGGAGTCGGCCGCCGATGATACATACGACCATACCACACGTCAGTGGATTGAGCTGTGGGGGTGGATGATGTCTCATAAGTAGGACTCGATCGAGACCGATGGACAAGAACATCCTCCAAGAAAGTAGATGGAGAATCATCCTTGGTGCCATAAGATTGAGACTAATGGAAGGTAACATCTGCAGAGACAACGTAGCGACCTAGATCAGGAGAAAAACAACGGTAACCTTTCTGATGCCGAGCATAGCCCAGAAAAATACAACGAAGAGACTTAGGGTCGAGTTTAGAGACCTGAGGTCGCGTATCACGAACGAAACACACACACCCGAACATCTTTGGAAAGAGAGGAAACAGAGATTTAGTAGGGAACAACACACGGAAAGGAATTTCTCCATTGAGAATAGCAGAAGGAAGACGATTGATAAGATAACAAGCGGTCAAAACTGCATCGGCCCAGAATGACTTAGGGACATTGTGCTGGAACAAGAGAGCACGAGCAACCTCTAACAGATGCCTATTCTTGCGTTCTGCTACACCGTTTTGTTGAGGTGTATCAGGGCAAGAAGTTTGATGGACAACACCATTACGGGAAAGAAACGACATGAATTGATGTGATAAATATTCCCGACCATTATCACTGCGCAAACACTTAACAGAAGTGGAGAATTGAGTTCGAACTTCAGCATAAAATTCACAAAAAATTTGGAACACCTCAGAACGATTTTTCATTAAATAGACCCATGTCATCCGTGAATGGTCATCAACAAAAGTTACATAATATTTGAAGCCAAGCTTTGACAGGACAGGACAAGGACCCCATACGTCTGAATGGACTAACTCAAACGGAGCTGAGACTCTTTTATTGACTCTAGGAAAATAAGACACACGATGGTGCTTAGCAAACTGACATGACTCACATTCAAAGGAAACGTTCTTAAACTGAGGATATAACTTCTGGAGGGTGGTAGGAGCTGGATGGCCAAGACGACAGTGAATCTCATATGGACTAGGGGATGTGGTGGAGCAGGCTACTGACGGTGGTGTGGCTTCAATAACATAGACTCCTCCTTCGACCCTTCCTCTACCAATGGCCTTCCTCGTCAAAAGATCCTGAAAAACACAACCATCAGGGAAAAATGAGACTGAACAATTCAATTGTTTTGTGATCTGACTAACCGATAGTAGATTAAAAGGTGACTTTGGAACATAAAGCACAGAAGATAATGTTAAATTTGATGTAAGACTAGAAGTCCCACTCCCTTTTACAATTGCTGAAGAACCATCCGCCACAGTAATAGCACTAACATGTGATGAAGAGGAATAGGTTGTGAGATTACCTACTGTTCCTGTCAGGTGATCTGAAGCACCTGAATCAACAACCCATTTGCCACGAGACATGGAAACACGTGCTGTATGATTACCTGTCTGTGCATATGTAGCAGTAGAAGCCTGCCCATCCACCTGAAACTGAGTATACCGTGCAAACTCCTCATCAGTCATCTCAATCATTCTCCTCCCGGAAGCAGGAGAGGACTCCTGGATCTCAGAAGATGCAAGTGCCGAGACATTAGCCACCTTGTTACTACTCGGATAACCGTGCAACTTATAACAGTTGCTCATTAGATGACCGGGCATACCACAATGATGACAAACACGTTGGTCCTTACTACCACCGCGGCCTCCACGGCCACCACGGCCACCACGACCTCCACGACCACCACGTGATCCACCACTCCTAGAAAAAGAGAACAGTGCGGATTTGTCACTAGATTCTGGTTGCACAGACGGAGTATGAGCCCCAATGGTAACACTACTTAGCCGATTATAGACCTCAGAAATAGATATGGGAACCCTCTCGGAGAGGATCTGATTTTTTATTGGCTCAAGTCCGGGATGAAGACCCGACAAGAAACACATAACACCAAGCTGCTCCCTCTGTGCAATCATCTCATCAGGACTAGTTGGAATCGGCCACAACAAATCAAGTTCATCAAACAGGGCATGAAACTTGATTGAGTATAAAACTCTTGAATAGGCCGCTCCTCCTGATTGAGTTGAAATAATCTCTTCAACACATCACACACACGAGATTTGTTGTTGGTGTTTGAATATAGTAGTGCCAAACGATTCCACACATCTCGAACCGTCGGACAATTAGCAATCATAACCTTAACTTTGCGATCCATGGAATTTAAAAGAAGTCCGAAGATACGGTTCTCTTCAATCTCCCAACTCAAATAATTAGGGTCGGTAGACTCAGGAGGCAAATCAGTCAAGTATTTAGCCTTACCCATACCTTTTAAACAGACAAGAATAGTTTTTCGCCAAATCTGAAAATTTAGGGCTCCTTCCAATTTTTCATCGGACAGTCTCGTTGGGAAAGAGACAACACCCTCGGTACTGCTGGAGCTCGTAGAAACATCACCCGTCTTCACCTCCTTCTGTCGATCATCTCCTGCCATTGTTGTTGCAAAAGAAAAGGGAGACACTTGCTAGGTCTCTACGCAAAGAAACCGGCACCCCTGGACCGGAACAAGGAGACCAGCCTACACCACTGGGCAGGCTGCACAAATCTGTGGCTCAGAAGCCATGATGTTGTATGTCCATTATAGAAGAAAAGAAAAAAAAGAAAAGAAGAAGGAGAAGAAGGTGAGGGCCAATCAAAACAATGGATGAAACAAACCCTTGCTCTGATACCATGAAAATGGCGAAGAAGAAGAAGAGAAGAGAGCGGCGTTAGAGAGAATACGGTGTGTCACTAGGTTTGACACACTTCTTCTATTTAAAATACATTAGATGGGCCAAGCCCTAAACACCAATAATCAACCATAAAATAATAAATAAAATAAAAAGAAAGAGAGGAGGGGGAAAGCCCACGTGACTTAACAGCAACCATCTTGGGATTACACCTCCTGATTGATGTGCATGCTCTTACCAGAGTCTGTTGCAGAATTTATTCCGTAGTGTGTCTAATAATAGTCCACTGGCTTTGCGGACTGTTCTGTTTGTTATATTACCGAATGCAGTTGCAGATCATCCATATACCAATGACTGCGCTCTCTTTATACCTTCTGTAAGAAAACTGATTGACAACTAAATGCATTTTTACTGTTCATTATCAGAATCAAATGCTACTGCGGCACCGGTACAGCTGCATGTGCATAGAGAGACAGAGAGAGAGAGAGAGAGAGAGAGAGAGAGAGAGAGAGAGAGAGAGAGAGAGAGAGAGTAAAGCATAAGCTGCTTCGAGTCAATTGATACAACAAGCGCACAGCGGTTAGCTTGTGCTTGCAAGAAGACAGATGTTACTTTAGTTCCAATTCCATGGCTCTGTTCTATTGCCCACAAGCATCGTACTTTCCCATGATTCCAAACCCGGCATACTCTCACTCTCTCCCACTGGTGTAAACATGAAAGGGAAACCTCCAATCTCATTGCCAAAGCCTCCCCTGATATTAGCCCTACCGCCCGCCTGCATGAAGTCCTTGGTAGGGTCCTCCTTCTCTTCGTCAAGCGAACGTGGATTCTTCTCGACTAGCTCTCTGAATACCGATGACTTGAGCAGCAGTCCCAGTGCAGTTGGAGAAGTTGACTTGGCGGAGACACAAACTGCATTTGTGCTTGCATCTAGTTTCATCGGAGTGGCGTGATCATTGAGCACGAAAGAATTGGAGCGAAAGAGGATGGACGGCTTGGATTCTTCTTCCCCATGGACGTGGTTCGAGGAGGTCGGTGCGGGTTCAGAGTGCAAGGTTAACTGAGGCTTCTGGGAAGCATGAGAATTATTTGGTCCTGGTTTCAGCCATCTTATGTATGAGCTCAAATCAAAGTTGGTCACTGCATTGATCCCTCTGTACTCGATTGCTGCGATGTCATATGCACGAGCAGCCTCCTCTTGTGTACCTTCAGAAGGGCGACAGAATTAGCAAAAGCAGTCAGATTGAAATTCCCTCAACGTACAAACAGAACTTTAAACAAAAATGGAAAGTCAAAGAACTAAGGAAAAATTTTTGATCGCAAAACTCAACTGTAAGTACCCAGATATAGATATTTGTTTCCAAACACCCTGCCGATCCTTGCTTCCCATCTCCCATTGTGATGGTGCCTGCAATTTCATCATCCAAGAACATATGACGCGATTATGGAGCTTCCTCAAACTAAAGGAGTAGTCAATCCATTGAACTCGCAGCAAACTTCAAAGAGCGTTAAGACGAAAATTAGTTCCAGGTGCACTCTATTACCTTGCAACTCCTCTGTACTTTGATACACCTCTTGAGAAACCGCTGCTTCGTCTGTACATTTGAAAATCGATTTACATTATGATAGCTGAATGTATGACGGAAACTGGGTCGACTTATTCAGCTGAAGGGCTAATTACCTTCTTAGCGAAGCCAAATATTCCTCTCTAGTCATGGTTTTCATAAGCTCAATTTCCTTCTCATAATCTGATATCTGCAAATTGAGGAGGCAACAGGAGTTGCAAACAAATGATCATTTTCCTTTTCCCAATTCAAACTTCCAAACTAAAAAGGAAAAGGGATGCAAGTTAAGCTGATCCTTCTTAATTTATATCTTACAGGGAAATTAGTGAAGGTTGAGCTTCCCCAGTACTTGAGTGCTGCCAAATCATAAGCTCTTGCGGCAGATTCTTCTTCATCATAAGCGCCTGTTCATAGCCAATATTTTCAGATATATCAAATATATCAAGAACAAAAACCCAACTGAAAGAAAGAAAATAATGAAAAGGTAAACAGTCAATTGGATGGACCAAGCACTCACCAAGATAAACTTGCTTTCCCTTCTTCCTCTGTGTTGGATTCCAACACCCTTTGTCCCACAAATGAGCCTCATACCTCCCAGTCCATCTATGTCTGCTTAAGAAACAATGTACTTTTAGCTTCATGTCTCAACTAACACTCACAAGAATGAAAAAGAGAAAGGTACCTACTTCCCCAGTAGAAAGCAATGGCTATGTGGCCCTAATGTGATTTGAATTTGAATCTGACATTATCCGTGTCATAAGGACTCAGCTCTAGTTCTTGAGGCAAAGTATCACAAACTTTAGGGAAGTAAAGGAAGAATTGAGCATACATGGATCAAAGTGCATAAGTTTGTGTAATTTTATTGTCAAGCAGACTTCCAAAACCATCAGAGGCAATTATAATATGTTGGATCACATACAGTGTTAGAAGTGTGAGTTCATACAACGAGACATAGGTATGGAAGTGTACTTTCCTCAAGAAAACATTCCATTCATATACACGATAGTAACATATGAAATTGTTACGACGGCTTGAAATTATTTCCAAATCATTCTTCAAAAGACAAATATCAATCTGCACACACAAATAATTAGCTCGACCTGCTTACGCCCCGGTACTTGGAGCTCCTCTTGATGGTCGCAGTCGCGGCGACGGTAACCCCATCGACCTCATGATGCTTCTTCTGATCATCTCCCGCCGCTGGAACTCCCGCGGCAGCAGAACTGCCATCACTGACGTGAACTCGCCTCCTCCTCTTGACGCGCCTGCCGATCGCGCTCACAGGGTCGCACTCCGCCATGCACGAGGGTCGCCTTACGCTCATTCCTGGGCTCAACTCCGACTTCACCACGATTATGCTCTCCACCGACATTTTATCTTCTTCCTTCTTGGCACACTCAGTCCCAGATCAGTCTGCTTAATTTCTTGCTGCTGTTGCTTCTTTGTAATGGATGACCGAACAGGTATGGAGGGTGCTTATATACGATACCAGTGTTTTTGTTGTTTCTCTTGCTTCTTTGTACTTATTGTGATTGGTTGGGTGGAGACAAATGGAGCGTCGATGAAACCTACGACAACTGGGGACAAAAGGGTGCAGGGATGGAGACGGAGAGCTCTGACGTGCCTCCACGGTCACTAGGAGCCGCCGCCTGCCATGCCAGTGATCGGACTCCACAACTGCCCGTTGAATCCGATGCTAACCGAGGAGGCATTTCTTGTTGCCAAATTTCTGATTGGTGGGTTACGGATATAGAAAATACGCACTTCATTCTTCTTTTCATTTATGCATGTGGGCGATTTCCTATATTTGTATCCTCTCAAATAAGAAGAGGTCGAGGAAAATATAACCCTCATGCTCGCTCTGTTGTCTAGGAGAGGCTAATAGGAGGTCAAAAGTTCCAATGACAATCTAAGGGGAAAATTGTCCAATCAGTCTCGAACCTATTGTATCGATGTCAAATCAGTCATGAACTTTTCAATTTTATCAATTTGGTTCCAAATCTTTGCACAAAATTCTAATGTAGTTATTTCAATCAATTTTCATTGAAAATGAAGGACGTGGCCGTATGTCGTACAAGAGGACCAGTGATGACTGGACCGTCATGTCAGTGATTTTCGTTAAATTGGCTGGATGAACTACATTGAAATTTCGCAAAGATTTATGATTAAATTAGCAAAATTGAAAACTTCATGATCGATCTGGCATATGTATAATGTAATTAGGACCGATTGGGTTGCACTTTCTAAAAGCAGTATTTGTCGAATATAAAATTAATGCCGCTTTTCTCTTTTCTTTTTTGGCCTTTTCCCCTCTGTGTAGTACTATAACAGCCATCACATCACCTCCAGAGAAAGAAGGAAAGCATGCACGAGAATATCTTGTTCGGTTTCTCAGTCAAGCGGCTTGCTTACCTAGAATTATAAATCAAGCTCCTATTTATCATATGACGAAACTAATCATTGGTCTGTCTAAAATCCCAAGGGAGCGCAAGAGAATAGTAAAGAGTTATACCCCTCAAAGGGGACGCTGCTAAATTTCTCTGTTTTTCCTGATTTTTTTGCCTGATTTCCTTGAGCAATGAAGACCCACGGGCGAACTAGCGACGAGACAATAAAAACAGAAATGCGATGTGGCGTTTGCTTCTAGGATTAGTAACTCCAAAAGGAGCCTGCGAGGTTTTTGTTTCTAGGGATGGCGACCAATGGACTATGTTGTCGCCAGGAGAAGAAAGAGGACAACCTTTTGCGACCGATTCGGCCACCTTTTTCAGAACGCGTTCTCGTTTCCTTAGGATTCTTCGTCCGTGGAGAGCTCGGATTGCTGTTGAGAGTTTCTTTAAGATAATAATGAATCATCTATTATGAAGTGGGAGTTTCTCTCGCTGAGAGCTCTTGTGGGAGTTCCGAGGGGGGAAACCCGCCCTTTTTCCTTTTGGCGAACTCTGAATGTCGGACAGATTACCATACATAACGCGAAATTTCTCCTCCGCTGATTCCTTGTAGTCAAGCCGCTTGATCAGTCATTGCATCTCATAAGTTGCAAGAATACAGCCCGGAGAATCCGTTGATAGTTCAAATATATCCATAAATTAGGCCTAATCGATCCGTATACAAAGATGTCGCCTGTGTTAAGTCAAGTCAGATGGTGCACATCTCAGTACACGAATGCATTAGCATTGCTCTTCTGCAACATAGCAGAGTAAGTCGACACTTCGGAGATAATGAGGCAGGAAGACAGTTCAACACCTTTTTTTGCCCCTGTTGATTTGTCATCCACTCGAAAGCTGAACTAAAACGATTCTATTCTCAATCCTTGGCGAATTGCATTTTCCTGTGAAGCATCCTTCGTACGCTAAAATAACTAAGTTACTCCATGCGGGTTCACGTTCTTCCTTAGGCTCTTCGACGGAGGTTGAAAAAGCTGCGCTTGCTTATTAACCTCAAGGTAAGCTGTAGCACATCGCACATTCATCTTTGAGAAGATACTTTAGCTGAATTTGGCAGCAGGACAGCCCAATCGGCCGTACCTTAGTAACCCGTTTGGTTCAGCTTTGGGAAGGGGCTTTCGGCCTCCAAAGCCCCTTCCCAAAATACTGAACCGTTTGGTTCGGCTTTCCGGACTCGGAAAGCCGAAAGCCAGCATTTGTGGAATGCTGAAGCCTATTTTTCCTTCCCAAATTGCTCTCACTCAAATTTCAATTTTCCGGTTTTGTCCTGTCACTGTTTATCTTCTTCACGTGGCCGGCGAGGGTGGCCGGCGAAGGGCCGGCGAGGGCGGATCTGGCCAGCGACAGGCCGGCGAGGTCGCTGACCAGGGCGATGGCCGCTGGGGTCGGGCGGCTGCCCGGGGCGCCGTCGCCTAGGTCGGCGGTCGCAGGAGTCGCGCGACCAAGGCGGCGCTCGCACGGGTCGCGCGGCCGTCGCTGAGGTTGCGCGACCCGGGCGGCGGTCGCTGGGCGATCGCTGACCCCGGGCGACCGCCGACCCAGGCGACGGCGCCTGGGCGGTCGCCTGACCCCAGGCGACCGTCGCCTAGGTCAGGCGACCTCGCCGGCCCCTCGCCGGGCCTTCGCCTGCCAGATCCGCCCTCGCCGGCCACCCTCGCCGGTGAAGAAGATGAATAGTAATAGGGGCAAAACCGGAATATTAAAAATACAAATTGCCAAAGCCCTTTGCAAAAAAAAATTTACCAAACACTACTTAGGCCAAAGTAGCTTCACAAATTTTTTTTTACCAAACACCACTTGCATTTCCCCAAGTGGCTTTCACCTAAAGGTATTTGCATTCTCCCAAGTTGTATTTGAAAAGCCGAATCAAACGGGCCCTAAGTAAGAGAGATAATTCCAATAACAAGCAAGTTTAAGCTGCACATTAATCAAGATCATCGACCAAGCTCGAGTCCCCAAAAGACCATTTTCAATTAGCCATAATCCATATCTGTTGAACTTGCAGCAGATGTGCAGATTGATTCTGCAAACAGATCAATAACAGAAAAGTTCCAACACCCGGCAATCATCCCAGAAAGGACAAACAGTTAACAGGATGGTCCTTACAGAAAATGATTTATTTCATTCAGGACGGCGCAACCAAAACTATCGGGTTACAGTTTTGCAAATTCTTTGAGTGCCTTCAAGATCTGCTCCTCGCTCAAACCATCCAAACGGATGCCCTTCTCCACACCGAAGTCTAAATTAAACAAGAAATTAAATACGTTAATGGTTTCACAGGAATACTCAATTAAGGCAAGAAGAGAAAGGAACACAAACAGAAGATAAAGGCAAAACTTCCTTTGGATAGTAATTGGGCACCTACAGCCGGTAAATCACCGGGGTCACTTAAAAAGCTAAAATTATTATCATAAGATGTGCTGATTAGGAGTGATAATTAAGATACCAAGCTAAACCTTTATCATAAAAGCAAAATTGTCATCTTTGCTTTGCTTCTCAAAAAAGAAAATTTCATAGTTCCATAATGGATTAATAAGCTGTCTGACTGAATTTAAATTTTTCCGATCTCCTTTTGGTTGTGCCTACGGCATACCTCCTCTATACTGAGATTGAAACCATGTTCTCTTAAGGCACTGTTCATCATACTTAAATTATAATAAAAAGAAGGACTTCGATACTCTGTTAGAGTATTTCTTTGCTGTTCATGCCCTAGCTTGTTTCACAACATCAATAAACCAACAAGCTGCACACTTAAATACAAGAACACATTGAAAACTACAAGCTTGACATAATATGGCATGAAATTTGGGCAATACATGGGATTCGTAGAAATCCTTTAGTCAGCAAACCACTATTATCGATTAGAGGATAACAGTGGCATCGACTGAAGTTAGTTGTCGTGCCATGATGAGAGATAATCATATCTGTCGACCTGTTCTCTACATTTTTTGGATATTCATACAAATAATCCAACTGAAAAGCAAAAAAATTAACTCGGGGTAACAAGTTATTGTTTGATATTCTCATATAAAGCCTGTCGAAAAGTTTCTAATGAAGAAGAAAGAGGGAAGATGAGACATCAAAACTCACACAACTTTGGTAAATGCAGTTTCATATTTGCACATATAGCAAGTAAAGGTGAGACAAAGGATGAAGAGAAATCCCAACCGCAGAGAAGCTTCTGCAAGATGAAATGACTAGATATACCATAGTGGTTGAAAACGATTAAATTGACAGATTTCTACCTCATACATGGCAAAACTTGGGAACTATCTTTCCAAGGAACTGCTAAAGGTCAGTAGTAACTTCAAAAAATCATTCAACCACTTCAAGAGTTGTAATTAACAACTCCAGGAATCCCCCTTGTTAAGTTGCTACACAATATCAACCGCCAATAGACAATTAGCAAAAAGTATAAGGCACTTATTGGGCCAATCATTAACGTACTTCTAGCTTCATTCAAAATTCCACGCAATTCTCCAAGTCATAATCCGCAGCATTAATGACCTTCAAGTTCCAGGACATTTCACTACAAAGTTATATAACCAACAAGTAGAACTAACTTGGCACGAGACAGAGGCCATAAGTTCCCTCAGAAAGACAACCGAATCAACTTGCATTTGGAAATCTACCAAGTACCGACAGCAAAATGGTAAGCAATTCCAATCTCCTTTCTCGTGTAGCATATATAAAGATTTCAATAAGAGGCACCAAGGCGGAGCAACCCACAAAATCATTTAGAAGAGGGAACGCATCTACAAATGTAATGGCAAGCCGGCAGCGGCTCTATTGTCCAAAATGCCCCAATCTACAACCCACGGAGGCAGCATGTCGGGCTATCATCTATTCTAATCACAAAATAGCCAGTTTCCTCTTCTCCAGACAATGCCTGCCCTGATCCATCACTAACCACGAAATTCCGACCCCTGACCCACCAATTCAGCGCGGACACGCTCTAAACACAAGTACACCCAGCTGTTAATCTAGGAAGCCCGAACAATTTAGCCACAAAAATTCGATCTTAATCTTACCCGACGACGAGTCGAATTTCTCGCACGGCAACGCACGCGAAATACTACGAATTCTTGAGGATTGCACATCACATTAAACTGAACGGGAGCGAAACGATTGCAGGGGGCGAAAGGCGCAATTACCGTATCTGACCCACAACTGGGGCTCGGTGCCGCGGCATTCGCGGATCAGGATGGGGAGCTTGGGGTTCAGCGTCTTCAGCTCCTTGTAATTCTTCTCCACGAACGACCTAATAACCCACCCCCACAAAACCACCAAATCGAACCCGCAAAACACATGAACGATCGACGGACGAACTCAACGACGCGGAGTGAGGGGCGAGGGCAAAAGGAAACACGAACCTGGCGGGGGAGCTGGCGGGGGAGGATTGGCAAAAGAGGAACCTGAGCTCCCTTAAGTTCTTCGACAGCTGCCCTCTCCACGCCATCTCTCTCCCTCTCTCTGAAGAAGAATAAGAAGAAGAAGAAGAAGAAGACGGATGTGCTGCTGCGAAGGAGACGAAGCTCGCGCTTTCTGCTTCTTCTTCCTCTTCCGCTTCGCTTCGCTGTTTCTGCGTGCGGTAAGTCTTGAGATGCCACCACACTCGTCTCGTAAATGAATGGGAAACTGGGCAATTAATTCTTCCTTTGCGAAAAATAAAAAATGTAAAAGTTTTTTTTTAATATGATTGCTTATATTATTTCAAATAATTAACCAATTAATAATATTTTCGTTATCGATAAAATAATTTTAAGAACGATGAACATATTTTTTGTTTATTCATTTTTGTAAATAATTCGAGTGATCATTTCTATAAAAAATATTTTTCAAATAATTCGTTTTTCGCAACATAAATGTACTATTAATGTAATAAACACGATACATCCTTAACTTCAAGGTTTGATTATATTTATAAAGACATTATATGCGAGTTAATAAACAATTGAGTTTAGAATCTATGACCAAAAATTGGGTTTAGTAGAATAAGTAGGGCGCGATAGACGAGCATAACAAGTTGATAGCTATTTACTCTTGCGAATAGTACGACAAACGTGATTTCTTTGTAAAACGTCCGGAGTCGTAGTTTCATTATTGATTTTTGCCCTTTCATTCACTATAAACAAACATGAATTCAGTAGGCAACTGTATATCTTCCTCGTAATTGCATAACGGTCTTCAAACTCCTTACAAAACTTCCGCACTCCATAGACAGACAACAGCACTCGAATCGCAAACCTTCTGCTCATCCATTATTCGTGGACAAATGCCGCTTCCGTCCATCAGAAATCGATCCGAGCGAATAAAGAAGAAAAGTCCAGTAACTGAAAAGAAGAGATCCTGGAGATTCGAAGCCGAACGGCAAGAATCGAGTATTCTTTGCTATTTGTCATTCTGTCTCTCAGAGATATTACTGCAATGAGGTAACTATCCACGCACTCTCAAGTTCATCATCTACAATGCCAAGTCCCATCCCACCATGGGGTATTACAAAGAATGCTTTTCTCCTCATATCCTGCTATACAACTCGTGATCCCAAGCGATACATCCAAAATGCACTCATTTTCATATTCAATTCAACGCAGCGACACACCATCCGAAGCACCAATGGAACAAGGAGGCACATATCAGGCTACACGTCGAGAGCGTGAACACGCCATGCAACTACCTGATGGCTTGGCGCCGAATCTTGAATTTTCTCACTCGGTTATAAGGGGTGTGAAAGAATAACCGTCTGTAGTATATGGATTCTAAATAATCCCCGTGGAAATACTGGAAGTGGCATTTATCTTCAGTGAGTGCTCTGGAATGTACGTAAGACCTGCGAATTTCGAAAGAAGCAGATAGATAGGATCTTCAAGTCTCATCTGAATCCAAGGGCAAGACAGAGGACGGCTACACAACATAGTATGAGTACACTCGATCTTCACATCAACACTCACCAAGAAGTTCCCAACAGTAATATTAGATGCTCAGCAAATGTCAAGCAGGCAACAAGAAGCACCTGATAAATGCATGACACCACTGCAAAGACTTATAAATACCCATACAGTGCTTTTCGTTCTCCACACAAGATTCCCAAAGTCTGGTTATTAAGCGACATGCCCTATCAAGACATGCTAGCAATTGTACCGCCAAACACAAAGTAAAGGTGCCACAATGGCCATGTTATGCTTTCCTTTCGACAACTCATGCATCAAAAGGCAAGGAGAGAGTGAGATAATGAAGTTACCTTTCTCCTTCACATCAATCTGCAGAGTATCTAACGTAATAATACCATCAGTCAAAGGAAGTAATTCAAGTTTGATGGTTGCCGTTGTTTGAGAGGGTACACACCTGAGATTAAAATGAGGACTCTTTCAATCACCACTGTGACTAATAATGGGAAGAAATAAAGTATAAGTGAATTGAAGGATTACCCCAATGGAACTCTACTATGCAGCCATAAATGTGTGCAACCGAAACCGGAAGTTGAAATAGCATCTGATACTGGGGAAGCCTGCTCATTTAAAGATACTAATTTGGTTTCACTGTGAACGTCGCTCTTATTTTCTAATGAAGGAGCCACTACACTTGACTTCTGCACTGTAGAGCCATGTGCGTGGCTGCTGTATTTTCCAGCAACTTCAGAAAGCCCTAAAAATGGGCTGATAGGTGACGTGGGCGAGGAATTCAAAGAGAGTACAGAAGGAGGTGAAGTAAATGAAGCTGGTGCAAGAATTGTCATAGTTAGATCTTCTGATGTCAAGTTTGAGGCCTGGAGTGTTAGAACCTGGAATTGGAATAATTCAGGTAAGTGTCAACAAACGGTTGATTTAATAAAGAGTTCCTCAGATTATGTCACACCTGCACGGGAAGCTGCGGGACCACACCATTTGGTCCAGGACATTCTCTTGACATCTCAGAAGCAACAGAGATCATAATATCCCTCGAGATACGAGGTCGCCAACTTGTCGGCTGCTTGAAAAATAATCTTGATTCTGCATAGAGCACGTAAATTATGCAAAAGAAAAGGAAGTTCAAATAAATGAAGCAGTTAAAAATTCTATGAGAGTTTGAGAAGCAAAATTAATCCGAAAGCATGATAAGTACCAGTGTAGTTGCAGTGACATGATACCATTACTGCATAGTGATCGGATGCTGAAGGACTACTCTTCCCTTCTATAATTTTAGAGGAAACACGCAGAGTTGATGCGGTTCCGCCCATAAGCTGTGACGACTGAGTACCTTTTCGATCCTGAGCACTAAACCTCTTCCATGCAGAAATTGCTGGTTTAAGAATGAAAGAGTGCTCTTCACCTCTCCTGCAATGAAAATCAATGACTCTACATAAGGAGATGGGAGTACGGATCTATAATAAAGTAGTAATTTAAATGTCTAAAATTCATCAGCGATTACCGAACTCTGCATGGTCAAAAACCTCATGTCATCATTTAACCAGAAAAAAAATTATAGCATTTAAATTTATTTAACCGGCTGACATTTCATTTTCCAAAAAAAATGGTCTTAAATATTCTCACTTGCATGACCAGATTAGAATGGTGAAACTCAGAAGAGTCTGAAAGCCAATACTTTTTGAAACTGGACAGAGACGAAACAATCAAGGGTCCACATGCTGGTCCAACCCCACCCTGAGAGTTTGAACCAACAAGCCATATTTTATATTGTCGTTTTGGTACTGCGTCAAGAGAAATGACATCAGATGCAATCTCACTATGAGTTTGGTACCATGGTGGTTCAAAGGGAACAGCAAGCCCCACATTGCAGCCGACCAGATAGGGAAAATTAATTTGCAATGGCAGTAAGGTGATCCTTTGATAGAAGCTATAGCAGCTATATCAACGGAGCACCAACCTCTGATGAATCCATGTCGCCAGGTCAAGGGTTCTTACCTCAATCTAAGCCCATTTCTTCTCTGAACTGAAACTACCTAGGTGAACAAGTAGAAACAGTTTTGACCCAGTTTGATCAGTTAAAAATGGTCTGTGGCCCCAACGTACCCAGTTGACAACCTTGTTGCCAGCATAGGCATCTCTTTGGCTATCTACTAATCATTCGCACAACTTATCAGCCAAAATTATTTGACTGAACGAGCATTACTTCAATGAAAGACGTGAGACAAGCTTGAAAAGCCACAAAGCATTTCTGCATGCTGTCACTTAATGATTAGGCAAAATCTTCCTTTTTAGCGTGTACTTTTCTTCTAGAGCACACATTGGAGCGTGATTGAGAATAATAGTTTAGGAATCCTACAAGACAAGTTCTCTACTGAATAGCAGATTCACTTATCATTTTGCGCCAATCGCAAAAAGGATGACCATCACAGAAATGTTATGACCACAAGAAATTAATGGCACAAAGAGATAGGCGTTGTAAGGAAAACCTGAGAGCTAGATTTGGCAAACTATGCTCATCTCCAGCTTCAATAGATGCAATGGGCAAGGATAGTGGGGGTCCACCTTTCACGGCCTCCTCAAGCACAATTGTTATAGCATCTATATACACCACAACCTCTGGTACATGTGCTGGAGAAACATTCTGCAGTAGTGAGTTCAAGCATTAGCATAGAATCCTCCGATTCATATGATTTCAGAAAACACATCACAAGGTATACAGTTGTCTATAAGAAATAAAATGCTAGTTATAACATGATTAAGTTAAGAGGCAGAGGTTACACCTTTATCTGCACACAAAGGAGATCATCAGTGTTGCAGTCAGCACCAAAAGAGTGAATCTCAATGGGTTGAATAATTTCAAGTTTCCTCCTCCACCTTCTTCCTGGTATATATACACCTTCTAGCCCACAACAAACAGAAAACCTCTCCGGTTCCAGTGAGACACCTCTAAAAGATAAAAGCTCCTCTTTATCAGTCTTTTGGTTCTTCACAAATTTTTGGTATGAGAACCGATCCCAATCTTCAAGTTCAAATTTGGGCTTAGAGCTAGGCGTTGTGACAGGTGCCGGTGGTGGTGCAGTAGTTTGGGGAATTGCAGACATGGAGTAGCTTCTAAAATTGCCGAAAGAGAAGAGCTGAGAGCCAGAGGTGCCTGCAAGGTTGGGCCTTTGAGATGTACTGCCAATTCCAGGATTGGTAATTAAAGGTGGGGGAGATAACGAACGAGCTGGTGGAGAAAGAGTATTGTCCAAGGGAAGCAACCAAGTCAATAGCTCTCCACAAGGTTCCTGATTTGCATGAAAGACATCATCCCTGCTATGGGAAGACACATTTTTGGTCTGATGCTTCTCAAATTGAAGAATCTCGAGGACAGGATCTTCCGACAAATTAGCGCCAACATTCACTTGGAGAAGAACCTGCATCCTTCCAAAGAAGAAACAGAATGAAAATGACCAATTGAACTAGCTAGTTCCAGTAGTTAATCCATCCAGCATGTCATATATGACACTGATAAAAAATCACAGGGACAGCTTCCAGAAGTTCTGGTGTAAGTTGGAGATTGGTGCACACCATGACAAAGATAACACTAAAATAAAAGACTTCCTGTGTATGTTTCAGGAAAAGTTAGTAATTACCAAGAGATCATTGTGTAGGGTTCACAAACCAAATGAAGGGTTGAAATGTTTGCCCAGAGAGGAGGAGAAGCATATTGCATATGTGCTAACCATCCCGGCGCTAGTATAATTTATGTTAGCACAAAACGGAAGTAAGGAATTATAGTGGAGGGGCATGTCACGCATACAAGGCATAGTTCACAATCTCAAAGGCCCTAAAAAAATCAAGTCCGACAAACAATCCTTGAATCGAAGCATATTTTATCGTGCTTTGGACTTGAATGAAGCTTGGTTTGACGGGATGACTGTCAAGGTAGAGACATAATTCCCATTCTATCGATGTGTGAAAAAATATCTAACTTCTCCAATTATCTAAGAAGCAACACGACCAGAAAAACATATTAGGAATCTAGGAGACTTGTCAAACATACCACTACATCCCCATTAGCAAGAGAATGACATTGAACGGTATTCCTTGCCACTCCACCACAGACATTGGCATCAAAATTCCCTTTATCTATAATTGCATTGAGCCGTGACATATCTTTTGCAATGCTGCTCTCATTTGCGGTAGAACTCTGATCTTCCTTGACAGAAGTGTGAGAAGACGTCTTATGAGCTCCTCTCTTTGACCAAAGCATCTCATTTGACTCAGCTATCCTGACAAAAAAATGAGAACTTTTGAATTTCTGCAGTAACGTTTCTGTCTTTCGTTTTTGGTCTTCCATTCTAAGCAGAGATTCACCAGCAGTAAAGTCCTTTTGAGCATCAGAATTCCCTTTTAATTGGTTTACGCCATTCTGCTCTATATCTTGACCATCTGCATGCACTTCTGCATTATCCGACACTGCATCCATGCCATCCCCAAGAAGTCCATTCACCTTTCTGCCACTCTGTCCAATACCATTTTTACTCATAACGGCAGCAACTTTGAAGGGAGTAATAATTTCAGTATCCTGCTCATTTGCTGACAAACATGCCAACACATGAATCTGTTCACCTGGATGAAGTTGATTTCAACACAGTGAGTACAATATCCACATGAGCTGAAGAAAGATTACTACAAATTCAGATACCTGGAAAAACAAAAGAACGGTCCAAAGAGCGCAATGAATGTACATCTTGAGCATCAATCCAATTCTCGGCGAGTTTTTCTGCATGAGGAGATTAAGAATCGATGCAAGAGAATCAATAAATCTGGGAAGCTTTGATGTGTCAATCATGGTAGAGGACAAAAGCTTCAGTTAACAAGAACTTCAAGCAATGTAGGAGGTCAGCAAGATGATGTTCCTCACACTAGTTATCCTAAATAACTTTGATATGGTTAAATGTTTGCCACCTCATTCGTAGACTCTTAGTCAATGGCATAATTGCAGGACATTCCATCTCATGTTATCAGAATATGCCTTGTTGAATTAGCAGATATGCAGGAGAATGGGAAAGGAGGAGTCCCGATGATAGATGTGGAACCAAAAATTGCAATCTCACTTCCAGTTAATAATGACGCGGAATCAGATTGGACACTTCCAAATTTTCTTAAATGTCACATGTATCTTAGAATATTAAGCCTATAACTTTACAAAATTCAGTTTAACAAGATGAAAAATTTAAGCTGAAACAAATTTGTTCTAAATCTTAATAGAGTGCTGTACAAAGATGTAAAAGTCTCAATCGCATGCAAGAGAAGGCTAACTTTTGAACTATTTTTTTTCCAAGTTACTCTTGTGTTTCTTTTTTACTACATACTATATATAAGGTCCGGAATTTATCAAACGAGTGGCAATAATTCAAACCCACAATTGCCTGCTATTACAAAAATGCAGTAACTAGGGAGGCATTAATTTGGAACTTCATACTGATTAAAATTCATTTCACTTTGCCACACACGTCAACTAATGGGAATGAAACTACCCTCCATGGTCCATATCCAAATAATCAAATGAGTCTAAAGACCTAGGGTTATATCAAGAAAGAAAGACAGGTTGCTCATCTCATTTATATCGATGTGTACATGCGCAATGGATATAGGACTAAGTCCCGAGGATGTACTTCATAAGGTGGACCTTGTTTGAAATCCCTAGTCATTTGAGCTACACTATATCTTTGCACGCCTTTTCATCAGGTGCAAGTGGCACTCAATATCTCATTAAATGTTTTTTTCCCACTCTCGTTCAATGCCCTTTCCATGAGGCAAATGAAAGTCCAAAACTTTCAAAAATTTCTTGAAATCTTCAGCAAGCATTAGACTAAACGAGAAGCAAAACTCTTCTTGATAATACATGCCGAAAGATCATTGAAAGTGAAGGATGGCACTTCTTGAACACGTAAGCTCATACATGGCAATAAAAAAATTCGTGTGCTTGTTCAAGTTAGTGTCATGTAAAACAATATACTTTAAAAGAACCAGTGTGATGGTTAGGACTTACTGGACGGTATGGTTATCCATCCTTCTTCTTCAGAAACATCTGAATGGCTCCCCAGGAGAGAAGCATCACTGCTTGTACCTGAACCGACAATGCTCACATCCTCATATCTAGCAGCCTCCCCGCCAGAATCCTCAGCGCTATCAAACGGTGGAAACGAATCTTCAGCTATCAGACCCTCTAAAGTCGCCACAGGTCTTGACATTTTATGCATGTCGGTATTGCTTCCGTTGACACTCGGTTGTTCGGCAGCAACAGTTGGTGAGGGCCGCAGCAGAAAATTCATTGCTTGGACAGCAAAACGCTGCTAAAATATCGGGGCCTGAAGGTTATGATGAAGCTTGGCAGATGTAAGTATCCTGGCACCTCGAGAAGAAGAAGACAGGACATCCGTCAGGTTTATAGACCAATAGTAAAAGGCACATACTAATTGGCATAATCTAATGCTTCAAAGAGGTGTCGCCTCATCCAGTTATCGTCAATCGGCATCTAATCAGAGGCAGTGGACGCCTTTTGGTTTAGGTTGATCGGTAGCCTACCCAATGCCAATTTCAATTAGATATAGATTATCTACTAATCTGCCCAAAATTAGCCAGAGCATGCATCCTCCGCGGAATACATCAAAGAGAATGAACTTCAAACATTACTTAGCTCAAATGAACTCATATCGAGCGCCCATCAATGGCTACCCAGCATCTGCTCCGCTCCAATGGGAAAAAATAGGTAACAACCAAAGCCCGATCTCCAACTCCCTTAAGCATCCTCATCCCCAACACTCTTAATTTGACTAAGAAGGTCAACAGGCACGCCCGTACGCATCGGAATTGTAGCAAGCAAAGCATCTACAGTCCGCTAACCAAGACCGAAGCAGAACGAAGATCAAAAGCAGCAAAAAAACTATTCACAGGGCAAATGATACTAAAGGAGCCTCTAGAACAGATCAGAAGCGCCAGAGGATCCAACCGGATCTAAACCAAATGCGGTTGCGCCTGTGAAACGTACCGAAATCGGAGCCCCGGAGAGAGGATCGGCGACCAATCTCGCGGAGCGGAAACCGAAGCGCAAGCTGCGAAGAGGAGGACGCGATCTGAGCCGGGCGACGGCGAAAATGCGCACCGGCCGGTGGAGGAGAGCGCGGAGATGAGCGAGCGCGAGCTTCACCTGCTCGGAGATGTACGTCGAGTTCGCCCTGCGACTGAATTTGTGCTGGAGGGATCTGAACGTGAACGTGAAAGCGAAAGCCGACGTGCTTCAGCTGCTGTTTCGGCCGATGCCGATGCTGGTGCAGAGCCCAATGGGCCCGACCCGAAAATGCCATATGGGCCGGTTCGGATTCATGAAGGCTCTTTTTTTTTTTTTATAATGGCACAAACGATCCATGAACTTTGGTCCGGTGTGTAATGTGATCCCTAATCCCAGAAATTTAACCTAATATTCAATGTAATCCCTGGACATTTGGTACATGTTCAATATAATCTCCGAACTACATGAAAATGTTCAATTTAGTCCTTAATTTTGAATTGAGCATGTACCAAACGTTCAAGAACCACATTGAATATTAGGCTAAAATTTAGGGATCACATTAAATAAATTAAAAGTTCAAAAATCACATTATACATTAGACTAAAATTCATGAACCATCTGTGTTATTTTTCCCTTTTTTTTCCCCGGGACAACAGAAAAGGCTACTAAGGGCTGTTTGGCAACTTGCGAAATAGTAACAATTTCTGTTCTTTTATTCCTAGAATCAGTTTGGGAGTAGAAATTCATTTGTTAAATTTTTTGTGCCCAGGCACAATTTTGCAAAAAATTGTTCCGAGAATCAATTTTGGAACAAAATCAAGAAGAAAAAAAAAGTAGCTTCTTGATTCTGAAACAATTTTTCCATTTTTGATTCTTCTTGATTTTCTTCTTTTTTTTATTTGTTGTTGTTCTTCGGCCTGCCACCCGCCGGCAACCGGCCACAAGCCAAGGCCGGCGAGGGCGGCTTGCGGCCGTGACGGTGAGGCCTCGCCGGCGCCGGCGACCGGCCTTGGCCAAGAAAGGGAAGGGAAAGAAAAAAAAAAGAAAGAAATATTAAAATATTATTAATAAAAAGACATTTTGTGTAGTCACCAAACGCATTTCTATTCTTTTTCTATTCTGAGAATAGAAATTTTGGACAATTACTAAACGCCTTCAAATGTTTAGAAATTATTTTCGGATACAGAATAAAAAAGAATCATTTCTGAACAGAATCTATTGTCTGATACAAAATAATTGACATACGCAACCTAAAATATGTTTCCTTGAAATTACAACCTACACGTCTAACATTAGCTAAGAAAAGAATGACGATAACCTTGTACCATCATTGCATTACCGGGCAACAGAATTCGTTCTTTTATCTTTACGAGGTCTTTTCTTCGAAAAGACCTGTGTATGTACGTCATCCTGTGTATCATCCATTCAACGGGCGGTGATTCTAGACCATTTCGATTACGCCACGTCCTCGTTCGCCATCACGACGACCGCCCACTTAACGTTCTGAACGAAGTTTCTGCGCACCCACGAGCGTCTGTGGGACATTTTCCTGACGTTTCCGAGCTTTTTACTTGCTCCGCATCTTCCCCACCAACCACTACCAAAAAGGGCCAGTTTCCGCCCAATGACCGGCATGCCTCCCACTCCCAGCATCATCTTTTGAATTCTTTGTACAGCACAGGTTGGGATGGTCCTCACTAGAGACTCAAAAACTATTCATCGTCTAAAGTCGATCTGCTTTGTCTTCTATGCAAAGCCATCGCCTCAAGGCAAACGATCGTCCTGCACGAGCTCTTAAAAACAACTCCATAAAGTCGAGCAGACTCTCTCTCTCTCTCTCTCCCTCTCTCCCTCTCTCCCGCCCTTCCCTTTTCTTGAGGAATCGAAAGTTGCTCCGTCTTTCATTTCCTCGGACCGACCGCCGCCTCGGTTGTTTTGATGATTCAGATGGGGCTTCTGATGCACTGTGAAAAAACTGCTTTTCAAAACGCGACGCCGGGATTCCAACCGTGTCGCTGTCGCGGTTCGGTCGTATCCGACCGGGAATTGAGCGGCCGTATCGGGGAAGCGATTCAAAACTGGGTGCGGGGTGATGCGGCGGGTCGGTAGGTCGCAGAGCGGCCTTGGCCGATCGAGTCGGGAAAGGTCTGCAAAAGAAATAAAGGAGAAATGAAAGCTTCCTTTGTACTTGTTTCCACAGGGATTTTTATTATTATTAATAGATGCCCTCCAAATTGCTGATTGATTAATGAGGTAAACAAGAAAAAAATTGCGACTTTTCGACGTATTACTTCTTCTTATTTTGCGCACAATCAGTGTTTGGAAAATCAATATGTTACTTCTAGAGTTTGTTTGTCTAGAATTTTGAGGGATTGCTCGAATGATGAGAATATTTGTCCTCTTCCTTTTAAACCTAGGTTCGAATGAAAAAATTTGCGCATTCACCTGAGGCGGGGCCGCCTTACGAGCACGGGCCTGTGATCGTCCGAAAATTACTGTACGTGTGTGGAATAAGAGATTGCCATGCTCTCGATCAACTTATTTTGTCTTGTGGTATATCTCAATATAAAGTGGGAATTGATCGTGCGCTCGAAAAATTCCAGACACCCGTTGCTAAAATTTAAAAAAAAAAAATGCTTAATAGTTATATGTGATACTCCTCAATCATACCCTCTTTAGAAATTCCCACCGTAGACAATGCACAAAAGGAAAATTGGAGTAAATTAACCATGTAAAACCAGCCAAATACTTGATCTCCGCCTCTCTGGAAATACCAGGAGAAGAATTTGAGGATTTTTTTATTTTTAAATATGGCTTATGGTTTCCTATTTTATTTTAACAAATGACAGGCGCCTCACTGAATAAAAGCGCCGCATCGAGCTCGATGTAAAAAGTTGAGACACTTGATTAAACCGAAAAGAAATTATGGTATCTAACTGTGAAAAACAAACAAAAGTTCAAAATTCTTGTGGCATTACTGACCATCCTTCATTGCAACGTGCATGATGCTATGGATTTCCAAATTAGATGGATCTATATACTAAAAGAAATGAAAGAATCCCCCAAAAATGGAACTTGACTATGGCCCCCCGAGATCGATCTCTCATCACATGTTATCACAATCAAGGTTCATTTTCAGTCTAGCTTTTATATAAATGTAAATCGCAACTTCTATTTCTATATCACGATAGTTTTATATGGTAATCAAGATAGCCTTAACTCGTAAAGAGGGATGACGAGAGATTCCGATACCTGAATGATTATAGATAGCTTAAAAAAAAAGGAATTATTGTGTGAACTTGGACGGGAACAAATGCATCACCCAAAAAGAAATGAAGAAATTTCTTGAAATGTTTTTAAGGGCCCCTTGGAGAACGAATTTCCAGATCCTTGACGACGGCTGTCATCAGATCGCCAAAAAGGGTAAATTCTTGATCATTTGCCTATAAAATTTGTAAATTTTATGTATTTTTATACTTACATTAGAATTACCAAAAAAAATATTACAATTTATTACGAACCCGAGAATCATCTCCCCCATTGATCATATCCCTTAATTTTATTTATTTATTTTATTTTTTGTCAAAATCATATCCCTTAATTAAAAAGCATAGGTCGTGGCCAACAAAGGAAAATAAAGGGATCATAGCTCATAGGCAGGGTAGGGGAGGGGGGGGGGGGGGCGATGAGTCATCGCCTTCAATTTCCCCCCGATGCAATTACGATCCTACCCCTCGATAGCGATTGATTGGACGGGTTGCTTTTGTCTTCTCTCTCTTCTCCCCTCACCTCGTTGTCATCTACACCCCCGCTACACCCTCCCCCCACTTTACCACTTTGCCCCTAGTCCATTTTTCTCCTAGGGGGGAAGGATTATGCAATGAAACCCATAAATCTTAATCACGAGCTTTTAGCTCAACTAATCATCCGGTTCTTCATTGATCATCCTTCAATTTCGCTAGGAAAGGTGTCGCCTTTAATGATCATTATCTCATTGTCAAATGATTACGGATTTGCTAAAGATAGCAACGGAGGCCTGTTGATTGAGATGGTTGTAGTGCTCGTGGTCACTTCCATGAGCCACTTTATTAGCTCAAATGCTGCTTAAGACATTGGTTTGTAGTTACCAGATCCAATTTAACTTCTAAGAACTAGGGACTAGCTATACCAAACTCGACATTCGACGAGATGATCGGGACTTGATACGACATTTGCCTCGACAAGACTCGTGCTTATACAGTTTAAGAAATCTTCAGTTCGATTAGCGATGGATCTCTCGTGTGCAAATTGAGACAAAAACCATTGTTTTTGTCGGGTTCCCATCTTGATATTGGATGCTCGTTTTTCTTGAGAAACCAATGGGTGCAATTATTTAATGCGCCGTCGTGAACTCATGATAACTCTTGAGCGCGATATAAAACTTAAGACCCTTGGATATTAGATGTCAACCCAATTATAATCAGAGTCTATCTTGACATAATTATCGTAGAATTTAGCTAATCTTTTTGGGATGAGTTTGGCTTCTCGTGTTCGGTTGAAAAACATTAAGATGGACAAAGGTATGAACGGGCTTGTCCTCATGTTGGTCACTTTTCTATCCCTTACAAGCGACACAAATCAAAGTAACTTTCCCCGTGTTTTTACACATATCTTAATTTCTTCACTAACCAAAGGGGTTAGCAGCAGGGGCCGAATCGTAAAATCGCCAAACCTGTCGATTTTGCCCGAGGAGAAAAGAAAGCCCAATGTACCTTCAACAAGCTAGTCAATATATAAGAATCTGCAACCCTCTCCTTCCCAAGGAGGAATTTCTCTCTCCTCCCCTCCTCTCCTCTCCTCTCTTCCTCCACCTCAAGTTTTCATCTTTAGATTCAAGGAAAGGAAAACAACAACAGACCGAGAACACAAGCAAGAAGGAAAGAAAGGGGTCTCAGCTTTCGAGCTCTCCTTCAACCAGAAAGAAAAGAAGGAAAGAAAAGAAAGAACGAATCCCATACTTCCCCACACCACAATCCTTGCTTTCTCTTGTGGGCGAAGTACTCGGCTCTTCTCCGCGCGCGCACGACTGCCTCTTATAGTAGTCTCCAGTGCAGGCCTGATACGTTCCCAAGGTTGTCCCACAAAAGCAAAGATCTTTTTGCTTTTAGAACCACAATCATGGCCACTTAATGCTCTCTCTCGTAAGTCCATAATTCACAGGCACGGTACGAGGAACAAAAGAAAAAAAAAAATGATGGCCAGTGAAGAACCCTATTCTGCCGACACAGACCCGGACGCTTTCGCTAATGAAGAAACGCTGATGCCAAGTTCTTCTGAGGCTCTTGAGTCCGTCTGGGTTCCTTCTTCTTCGACGGCTCATCATGGTAATTAGCCTGTACATTTGGAACTGCGAATTTTCTTTTGGTCGCTTTCTGGGTTTTCATTCTCTTTCAGGTTTTTGTTGTTTCGTTTCCGTTGGTATCTTAAGCACATTTTTCTTTCTTTGGCTTGCGATCCGTCAAGCCCTACTGGGTTGTGGAAGCTGTGGCAAATTGGGTCTTGTTCTATTGGGAGAACTGGAGAAGTTCAAAGCTGCTTTTCCGCTCCAGTCCTCTTCTTGATCTCTTTTTTCCTCTTGAAAAAGCAGAGCGATCCCTGGCCCTGTTGTGTATTTTACTTTATTGAAGAAAAGATGCCAGCTTTCTGCTTAACCATCACATTAACAGTCCAAAGATTCACTTTTTACTCTAATGTTGTTTCATCTTCCCTGACTTTAATGTGCCACTGCGTCTAGTAAGTGAGGGTTCTTTCATCCATGCACTCACTCTGTTTTCTTACCTCGAATTGATGTGGGTTTCAGTAAATTTGCTGATTATGTTAAATGTAATGCTCTTCTTCTTTTGTCGAAATATCAGGTTCAAAATCAATGGTCAATTTTGAGGACGTTTCTGGAGGAGGAGATACCAAGTACCTCCGACAGATTGATCTGAAGGAAGAAACCATCGAAGAGGACTATTGCGAAGGAAGCTATCAGCCCCCTGTGAAGAAGCGGCGACTGTCGGTTGACCAAGTCCACTTCCTCGAAAGGCACTTCGAGGTGGAGAACAAGCTCGAGCCTGAGAGGAAGATCCAGCTTGCCAAGGAGCTCGGCCTGCAGCCGAGGCAGGTCGCAATCTGGTTTCAAAATCGGCGAGCCCGGTACAAGACCAAGCAGCTGGAGAAGGAGTTCGATTCGCTCAAAGCTCGCTACGAGAGCCTCAAGGCTGATCACAACAAGCTTATCAAAGAAAAGGAGAATTTGAAAGGGGAGGTAATGAAATGTTCTCTAGTTTAATTTATGAACCATTGAATATAGCAATGTCACGTGGGAATTAAAGCTTGCAAGAAGGTATGTCAGATGATAAAATCTATAATATGGTTGGGGTGACATTCTGAATCAATCTTTGCCTTTTGAGAGGAGGATAACAACATAGAGGAATGCAACATTTATGGGTCTAGATTTGGTAAAATATCAATTGCGCCAAACTTTAACGTGCGAGATGTGAGTCGAAGAACTGATCCGGCAAGTCACATTGTGAGATTAGTTCCTCTTTCGATTCGGGATTGGTTGGCTTCGGGATCATTTTCGCTACAATTTCATCATCAATTCGTCTATGTTTTGCTTGTTGATCAGGTCCTCTCTCTCAAAGACAAACTGAGGAGCAGAGCAAAAGGAAGCGAGGAGAGATCGCTCGAAGTTGATGATTCATTGCACAGAGTGACTAAGAAAACAACCACGCCCTCAACTCTCGAGGATGTTTCGAACGAGGATGCCACGATCTTAAAGCAGGAGGACGCGAGTTCGGCCAAGAGCGACGTGTTCGATTCGGAGTCGGTGCTAGAGCCCGCAAATTCCTCCCACGTATTCGAACCAGACTGCTCGGACTTCTCGCAGGACGAGGATGATAGTTTCGCCAAGATCCTCTTGCCCCTGGAATTCCTTCCCAGATTTGAAGATGGATACACCTTCCACCAGAACCCACCTTCAATTTCTTGCAATTTTACTTTCCCAGCTGAAGAAAACCCCTTCTGGTCCTCGTCTTACTGAGTAAACGAAATGTTAACAGGACAAATGCCATGCATCTTAAGGGTAGGCTCTGGTACGATGCATCTAGCTATAAGTAGAAGAAGTAAATTCTGGTGGTTTCTAGAGTTGGCATCTTTTGTGAGTCGATAATATCAGTCTTGACAGTACAAAATCAAGGCAACAAGCGCATCACAACTTTCCGCTGCTGAATCTGTGGCCTTAGTTTCACTTAAACCAGATTCTGATGCAGTTGATGTCTATCTGGAATTCAAGTCTCGCCATTGAATAAACCCCCCTTTCCATAGAAATGAATCAAATGCACAAACATGTTCAGAACTTCTCGCTAGAAAACAAGGCTCGGGACTTTTCACGGACCGACCTTCCAATGTCGGCATGCATCAAGTAGCTATTCATTACGAAAACGTACACTTAACCACGATCACAACCCATCTGCGGAAAGAAATATCTCCGCTGATTTTAAAGCTACTTTGAGCCGGGGGAAAACGAGCCCTGAGCGGTCGGACACCGGGTGCTGCTCTCCAGAAACCCATTGACGAACCTGGGAGCCATGGACTCGCTCGGTAGGCGACAACAGGACAAATCGCGAAACGAAGCTGGTGAAAGCGACCCGGGATTATAAAAGTCCCCAAGAAATGGTGCACACCATTTTCCCCGCAGTTTCTTTAACACTTCTGTCGCAGTCCCAGGCCCCGCCACGGAGCGTGAAAGAGATGGGAAAGGGACTCAAAAGTCAAGAAATGGGAATGGGCTTATGCAAATCCTCTGTAGCTTCTGCCATCGGCGATGCATTTTTCAAGCACCTCCATTTATGCTAGAGACGTCGACAGCTTCTGTCATTTTGGGGCATTAATCAAATGGAATATGATAATCGACACCCCCCCCCCGCCCTTACTTTATTCCATTACTATAATGGTGCACATGGAACCGTCAGTGTGAACCGAGATTGCGTCCGCCACCGGATATTTTCTCGCTCATGTAAGCCGGTCGCTGGACGGACGCTGAGTCGTCGCCCGGGAATAACGCTAACCTCGCTCTCTCTCGCCCATTAAAGATGGCATGTGAACCTGGTGATGCAATGTGTTCCTTAGGTCGTCGTCACCGAATGTGCAGTGCATCGCAGCTCGAGATTGTATATTGAGGGAAACGGAAAACGACCCCACTTGTTGTTTGTTGGATCTCGTGGAGAGGAAGGAGATCCGCAGGGTGTGTCCGCGTCATTTGATTGATTCGATTTGCACATCCGGGCAGAAGAATATGCCCATTTCTGGTGCTGTTTCGATGTTTGATTTGACAAGAAGGTCCCGCGTGATTAGTGACCAGAGATTAGCGATGGTAATTCGACCTCGATTAGACGGTAGAAACTCAGATTTGCAATTCCCTAATTCAGAAAGCGGAAAAAAAATTCCCGCAAAGTTTCATAAATTATCTGTCATCTGTAAAATAATCGCACTAAGTGGCTAGGGAGGGCAACAAATAATCCTCGCTGGGCGTACCCGATATGTTATTGCACCTCTTTCTGATCGAATTTTGACTATGTTGACATCGTCACGATCTAAGTTTTGCATAGCCTTACAAACTCCTCCCTCGATCATTGTGGACATCTAGCTCTTGCTTCGCTTCTTAGAAAGTCCAATCGAAAGTCTTAAGCTACCAAGAGAGGGGAGATGACATGAAAATAACACTTTTAAGGTCCGTGCAAAGTGAAATAATAGTGAATGACTAAACGCACATAAATCTAAGAATGGAAAGTCGAGTGCGCAAAATAAACTCCATAAACAAACGACGTCATAAGTCGGGTGCAATGTCGTAAGTCCGGTGCAGGTCATGCTGCGAAAACAAACATCACATCTGAATCACTCGTGTCCCGGTGGGAATTTCGTCCCGTTTGGGAGATTGGTGAGACATGTTTCAAAGCATACATTTTTCTTGCGTATGAAAGTGAGTGTTTCGTGTCCAAGGAGGATAGGTAACCAAGAAAAAGCCGTACGTATTTATTGTGGGAAACTGATGACTAAGTTCGTTTGGTAGAAAGAAAAAAAAGCGGATCACAGTAGATAGTTTGACTGTTGCGGCCGGGGGTGATAATTTCCGTCACGCTACGATCACCATTATAGCCCATTTAAATGAACGAGTTAGTACCATGCGATTGTGTCCACTCGGCTTCGTCTAATCTCTGTTACTTTAGTCACGTCGAATCAATCGGTTAATTTTCGAGTCATGTTCGTATGGTGTAAGTAAACACAATTATCAGATCGTGTTAGGATACACGAGTAAATTATGTTGAAAAAGTCTTATATTAGAAAATTAATGTAATATGAAGCAATTAATATTTTGTAGTTGGCCCACAACTCATTGGCTAAAGTTTTTGAGTGAATGTAAATTCAGTAGGCTCAGATTTGAGCTCCCTTTCAGCAATCTTCAAAGGCGAAAGATATTGGTGTGAGAGCCGATAGAAGATTGATGGACCTCCCAATCTATTATGGTGTTTTGTTAATATCTAAATGAAGGAATCTAGAAACATTATATCACAATTTTTTTTTTGTTGATAAAGGGATCAAATGTTATAATTCTTTTGTTTTGTTGGTAAATCGGAAGATTAGAGACATGAATATAACTTTTCCAATTGGTTGTTTTTTCAGGAATCAATGTGGTTAAGTTGATATAAGTTAATGCGGAAGGCCTAACACTAAACTCACACGTGAGTGGGAGATTGTTAGGTTGCACGTGTGAATATCGGAGAACCGAGGTTAATATATCATAGTTGGCCCATAATCTATTAACTTAACATTTTAAATGAAGATAAGCTCAACTGAATATGTTAATAGGTTCGGACTTGGGCTTTTCTTCGGTGATTTAGCCGAAGCCTTGCGCTCTCAACAGATCATGCCATGTTTTAAATCGAATTTTTATGACGCGATCTTGTGATTGACATGCGCCCGCCCCGGTTTCGGCGTCCAAGAACCAAAAGATAGATAAGAGCAAGAGCATGGTGTTGCGATGCGCATCCCACCATCCACGACCTACGTGTCGTCCAAGACTGGTCATCCCAAATCCGCCACGCAACCCCCGGTCGTCCTTCACCACTCGAAAGCTCGGAGGAGTCGGGCTCAGGTCGGGCCCCCCCCCCCACCGCGAGAGCGAGTCGCCCATGCATGCAAAGTGGCGACCGATGCATGGTGCAGACGGAGATGATTCCTGCGGGCCACGCCGTGGGGACGCGGACGCGGACTCGTCTATGTCCGAGCAGTCGCCGCCCGGGGGAGGGGGGGTTTCAGTTCGTAAGGATTAAAAAAATGAAAGGAAGGCCCAGTGGGCCTCTGCAGCTGCACTGCGCACTGACGACGCACGAGCGTCCCACGAGCATCTCTCTCTCTGGTCTGGGTCTGACAGAGTCCCCCAGACTCTTCTGCAGTCCCCACAGCGCTCGAAACTTGATGATGATGTCGATGTCGATGGCGATGGCCCACCCGACTCCGACACCCACGCGGCAGGGGCCGTTCGCTTTCGCGGGGCCCCCTCGTCCACGTGCCCCGATCCCATCTCTGTCGCTGCTGCTGCTGCTGCTTTTTCTTTTTTTTTTGTTAACTCCTGCTGCTCCTCAGCGTTGGACCGTTCAACTTGAACGGCCGATGAAGGGCTGTACACAGCCCAGTCCATCGCTTCATACACATTCAAGCGAAAAGCTAAGGACGTGCATAGTAACATTTCTGTTTCAGAAATCAATTTCTAGCTAGAAATAAATTTTTTTATTTTTATTTTATGGATGAGTTTTTAAGCAAAAATGCGTATTTGATAACGACACAAAATTTCTATTTTCGAAATAAAAATTTATTTGATAACAACACAAAATTTCTCCCTTTCGAGCGGCCGGCGTAGGACGGCGGGTGGCAGCGGGGGGCGAAGGGCGATGGCCGGCCGGTGGCGGAGGGAGGCGATAGGTGCCGGGCGGCGACTGGTGTCGGGTGGTGGAGCACGGCGGCCAACGACAGAGCATGGCAGCCAGCGGCAGAGGGTGGCCAGCGTCAGGCGATGGAGCACAACGACTTGCAGCGGAGGACGACGGAGGTCGGTGGTGGGTGGCTGCCGGGCACCCGGGGGCGGCCGGCGGCAGGAGGTAGCCGATGGCGGAGGGCGGCTGGCGTCGGGCGGTGGAGCACGGTAGCCGGCGGCGGAGGACGGCGGCCAATGGCGGGTGGCGGCCGGCCTAGGACGGTAGTCGGCGGCAAGAGGCGACCGGCGGTGGACGGCGGGCAGGAGCCGGCGGGCAGGTGGCGGCAAAGGACGTGGGAGGCAGCGATGGGCGGGTTGCGGCCGGCGTTGGGCGGCGGCAAACGGCGGAAGATGGCGGTGGGATGAGACGGTCGGCGGTGGCGGGAGGCGGCCGACAGTGGCGGGAGGCGGCCAGCAATAATAGCGAGCAGCAAAAGGTGACCGGCTAGTAGCGAGGGCTAGCGATAAGAAGAGTTTATATTTCTCATTTCTGTTTCAGAAATAGAAAAGTAAATTTTTTTTAGTTTTGATTTCTGTTCCAAACCTATTTCTGAAATAGAAATTTGTTACAGAAATAGAAAAATGAATATGCATTACCAAACAATTCCTGTTCCAAATCTGTTCCTGGAAACAAAAAAAATAGAAAAATAGAAAAACAGAAATGATTTCGTGTGCGCCCTAAAATTGCGATTTGGGTCCTCAGATTTCCTAGGTGGGAGACTCCGTTTCGCGTGTGTTTTGAAGAGAAGAGAGAGAGAGCGTGTGTGTGAGCTGAGGTTGGCTGGACTTTCAGTCCTGGGCCTCTATACGTTTTCTGGATGTAACACTGCACAGGTTTTTGGATTCCGTCCAAGGCTGATGACGGGGGTGGTTTCTGAAGTGACCTTAAGCAACTTTGACCCACCACATTTATATCGGATCTCCGCCATGCCATCGGTCAGGTCGGTCAAACATCCGGTCCCTCCATCCTTGAGGCGAACCGTCTAATTCTATCCCGACTTTTAAGCTGCTCGTATTGAATAATGATCCACTAGTGCAAGGATGAGCGACCTACCTAGTGAGCCACGTAATGCCTACCTCGAAGGGTCCATATTCCTACGCTCCATCAAATTTAACGAGGGAAACGAAGACCGACGATCGATAAATTGTTTCTCGTTCTAAGGAGCCTATGCGCGACCCTATTAGATATGTTAATTTACATGTCACCCAGAAGCCGTACTTCTGATCAGTGTACCCAATCATCTAAAGTTGTGATAAGTATCCTTATGGTCCTTAAAAAAAAAAAAAGAGGCTCTTCTCTTGTTCCAACCCCATTTTTTTCTAGAGAAAATACCACCAAAAATCCTAAACTATGCCATTTGCGACAAATTTACCCTGAATTTTTTTTCGTGACACAAAAAACCCCAAACTATGCCACCTGTGACACATTTTGTGGCATCCCAGGCACGCCCCTTCCTATATGTCATTCTAACCTCACGCGATTGTAAGAGTTCGCACACGAAAACGTTTCTTTTCTTTTTAAATAGCATTTAAAACTTGAATTTATAACTAATAAAAACAATAAAGATATCACTGGCACTAAACTTCAACATTTCTTTATTTATAAACATGGGTGATACAAGGGTGAGTTCATACTAAGGAGGCTATGTACAGTGCTACTCCCATCACTATCCTATCAACAGCATGATTCAAACATACACACACAACTTCACTCTTGCTTGGGTATCATTATCTCATTCCAAGTCACAGGCCCAGTGTGCTCGCCGGACACGCAAGGAGGAAAACTCTCGTCTAGCGGGATTCGGTGCGCACTCCGATTCGCCGCGGTGTACGCCGGAATTTTCAACGGCCCGCGCAGGCTTCGTGATCCACTGACCACGGCATTCCGATCAAACTCCCGGGGCATCTAGGGCATTCTCATCCTAGGCATCGTAGTCCACTGACCACGGCATCCCGCATTCCCTACGGCTCCTTGGGGCATCGTTGGTTCACTGACTGACGGCATTTAATAACCCAGCAAGCCCACACAAACTAATCATTTCGTGTAGTACACAGTTCATCAACAACAATCATCCTTTCTCAATATCACATCATTCACAGTTTACCACTTTAGTAGGACATATTGTAAGTCGCATTCGCGGTCTTGTTCACTAAAGCACCGCTTTGACTAATCGTCAACAACACATCCCACGACACGTGGCTAATCACATCAAGGTCTAGCATGACTCATTGGAAAGATCAGAGTTTATACATTTCATCTCCTGAAGATATCAAATTGAGATTCCAACAATTTCACGTGGAAAATAGTAAATCTTTATAAATTTGTAAAACTGGGTAGCCTTGCACCAGTTTTAAAATCAGACTTAAATAGATAGTGAATGAACTTTAAAAATTCTAAATTTTGGATATGTCACCGAAGACACCTTGATAAACATTTTTGATGAAGGATTCAAAGTCTAATTATTTCTTTAAATGCCTCGTTCGGGAGCTTAAAGTCAGACTAAAAACTGTTCATCGGGACAGAATCCTTGCCTCTCAAAATGAGTCCATTTCAGTATCCAAATCCTCTCCAAAAATTCTAAAATTTAAATATGTTGTAGAGAAATATATCCTCAAAAACTTTTGTGAAGGACGTTTGTTCAGAATCATTCTATAAAATTTTATAAAAATTCAAGAATGTGGAAAGGTCACTGAAACAGAGCACCAGGGCAGTCAAGCACGGCTTAGAGATCTGGCGTTCGTGCTACCCAAAACAACTCCAAAAATTCTGAAATTAAAATATGTTATACGTCCAGATGTTTTGAACAACTTTCATGAAGGGAGTCTTGCAAAATTATAACCACAGAAATCTCTACAAAATTGGAAAGCAGTAAAGGTCCAGTAGAAACCGAATCTGGAAATCACAACTCAAGTTCAAGAATAACTCATGACTTGATCCACACGAATTTGGTGTTCAAAAACACCCAAACCAGCAGCTAATTTCCATCACCACCATCCATTTCCATCAATATCCTAAAGCCACGCCAACATACGACCCATTCCGATCTATTATAGGGAGGCAGAATTTCACTTGCCTTAACGGCTGAATACGGCGCGGCGCGGTTCGGAAATGGAGAGGGGACCACAGAAAATTCTTCTCAAGCCTTTCGTTGCACCTCAAGCCCACGGTGAGAAGGAACTTGGCGGCGTGAAGGTCTGGAATTCAGAACAGAAGAAAACCAACGGAGGAAGAGGTTCTGTTTGGGCAGTACAGAATGAGAAGGGAAGAAGAAGAAGAAGAATAGGTCGGCAAGAGCGAAGAAAAAATCAGAGGCTTGGGGCTTTGCTGGACGATTCTCCTTCGCTGGTTGACTGAACTTAATTGTAGGATGGTCCTGCGGTGGTTGACAAAGTGACGGTACGGTGATTTCGTAATAGCGTCCGCGTCTTCCAAAGTTGATGCTTCCGTAGCTCATCGTCGATTATTTCAATTCCCACGTAACGTTCCGTTACGTACGCTCGTTAAACTAACGGACGAAATTTTTGGGATGTCACATATTTACCCTATAATACTTTCGCTCATGGGTGTTTTAGTCTTTTTCCTTTTTTTTTTCTCTTCCCTCTGCCGGCCATGGCGGAGGGAAGCCGGCGAGTGCTGCCTTCGCCGGCTTCCGTCCGCCATGGCCAGCGGAGGGAAGAGAGAAAAAAAAAGAAAAAAAAAAAGAAAAAGGAAAAAGACGAAAATGCCCATGGGCTAATATATTGTGGGGTAAATAAATGTGTCACATATGGCATAATTTGAGATTTTTCGTGTCACAAAAAAAAGTTTAGAGTAAATTTGTCACAAGTGGTATAGTTTGGGATTTTTCGTGCCACAAAAAAAAGTTGAGGGTAAATTTATCATAAGTGGTATAGTTTGGGGTTTTTGGTGGTATTTTCTCTTTTTTCTATTATAAAGTCAGATTTTTGTTTTCCTCTCTTTCAATATTTCTTGCTAGTTTCAATGTCTACCTCATGTCTCTTGACTCTAAGCTGAGATAGATATTCATGTCTCTTTTTCAATATATATATATCCTTGGCCCAATTCCCTAAAAAACCCCAAACTTTAGTTTTTGTCCCAAATATATCCCAAACTTTTTTTTTGTCTCATAAAAAACCCCAAACTTTTACTTTTGTCCCAAATCTACCCCGTTTACTATTCATCCAATTTTTTAATATTATTTTTTCGAATTTTTTTCTTTTTTTTTCTTTTCTTTTTTTCACCCTCAACCTCCGGCCGGTCGCCGGTCCGGCGACCGGCCAGAGGCGAGGGTCGGCGAGGTCGGCCCCGCCGGCTGCCCGGCGAGGTCGGCCTCGTCCAGCAACGGCGGGGCCGAGCCTCGCCAGGATCTGGCGAGGCTCGGCTCCGCCGGGCCGCCGGCGAGGTTCGCCTCGCCTGAAGAACGGCGCGAGGCCGAGCCTCGCCAGCGGCGGCGGGGCCGACCTCGCCGGCTCCTCGCTCTGGCCGGTCAGCCGGACCGCGGCCAGCCACGGAGGTTGAGGGTGAAAAAAGAAAAGAAAAGAAAAGAAAAAGAAAAAAATTCGAAAAATAATATTAAAAAATTAGATGAATAGTAAACGGGGTAGATTTGGGACAAAAGTAAAAGTTTGAGGTTTTTTATGAGACAAAAAAAAGTTTGGGATATAATTGGGACAAAGGTTAAAGTTTGGGGTTTTTTAGGGAATTGGGCCTATATCCTTTGCCAGTTCGGTTCTAGCCACCGGCCCTTGCTTGCGGTTAGCGAGGGTTGTCGGCCCCTGGTAGAGGCTTGGCTTACCTCGCCAACCATTCCCCCACCATTGCCGGCCCTTCCCGAGGATAGTGGGGCAGCAGCGACGAGCCCTTCCAACTCCCTCCCCGCCCCCCCTTTTGTTTTAGCTTATTTTTTAATTTAATTTAAATAAATTTTGTATTAAAAATCGGATTTGGACAAGTTACGTAATTGTCACGTAAGATCAGCATTTTTCCGCTAGTTAAATTGGACGGAGTTAACGGAACGATTCGAATTGTACCAATTTAATAAGTTTTAAGATTTGATATTTCAAGACTTAATTGTACTTTCGGGATAAGTGTTAAAATTTTCGGTTCACGTATCATTTAAAAGCACTTTATAACAATGTAAGAAAAAAGGAAAAAACTTTTTTCAAAACTGTCCCTGTACTGAGAATGGAAAGAAAGGAAGAAGTACTTTAACTTTTTCATTTTATTTTTTTTTATTTTTATGTTTCCTTCAAAACTTTTGGTTAATCTAACTATCTGTTTTACCTGGTCAAGCAGTCTCGTTTCCCGGTGCCAGTCCGGTCTCCGCCGCACAACGCCAGCGTTCCTCCGCCCGCCGGCCGCCTCCTTCATCCCCCCCCTCCGCCTTTCCCCGAGGTTCAGGCCGACGCCGACACGAGGGACGATGGGCCGCAAGAGGGACAAGCCCTACTTCTCTCGGCCCGCCGCCTCTTCCCCCATCTCCAAGCGCGGCCGCCACCTCCCTCGCCCCGATCCCTCCTCCGCCCCCGACGACCCGCCGGCTCCCAAGCCGTCGCCCCCTCCGGCGCTGGTCGTGATGGGCCTGTCCCCGAACTGCTCGGTCCTCGACCTCAAGTCCCGGTTCGAGATCTACGGCGCCATCTCCCGCATCCGCATCGACGGCGACGACGTCGGCTATGTCACCTACAGGTCCAAGGACTCCGCCGACGCCGCCATCGCCGCTTCCCGCGACCCTTCTTTCGGAGTCTCTGTCGATTCCCAGAAGGTAGCTCTTTCCCGTTTGGCCTAGTTTACTGCGTGGGGGTGTGATAAAGTGCGGGTTTTTGGGACGCAATTCGGCAATTCATCTGATTTTGGCGTGGTTGATTTGAATTTGGTTTATGCGAGACGTTGAGCGTGAATATTTATCTACGAATGCTATCAAAGTCAGCTGTTTCTGTCTTCTTTGGGCCACAATCTATTTAATTGCAACCGGACGTTCATGTTTGGCGAGCGTTCGTGGTGCGCAATTGTTAAAAATCCAAACTTTACCTCCTTGTGCTTCAGAATTCCGTTTGTTTCTTTGTACGTTGCGTTGTTTGGCGCACCTGTCATTCAAGATGGGGAATTTGGTGCAGGTACAAGTGTTATGGGCGACCGATCCGCTCGCCAAATGGAGGGAAGGAGTTGGAGCCGGTGTTGGAACGAAGGAGGAGAAGAATGGTTCTACGTCGAAGCTCTTGCGAGCCGAGGTACCTCTGAGCAGACATGGACGAGGTAATAAGCTCGCTTCGACTATAGTGAACTCTCGAAAGGGAAGTGGCAGCGAATCCACACTCGAAGCGCCTTTCCAAGGCAGAGGAATCGTAGCTTATGACGACATCCTCTAAATCCGCGAGTCATTGTTAGAGATGGGAATGTGACTTGGTCTGCGATTGAGCAGGAAGTGCAGGCATCAAGAATTAGGAGATGTTAGACGGTTTGTTAGTTTCTGTGATGCTTCATAGTTTATTAGAAATGCAAGTGCCCTCTTCTTTATTGATCGAGGTTCTGTCTGTATGGTTGAAATTGAGTTGCTTATTTCTGATGTAAATTAGTTCAAGGTGTTTGGTGTCTTATGGAATGGAATGGAATGTTTAATTCTGTCGTAGTTGCATTATCCGAGGTGTACGGACACGTTACTTGTGCCACCATGATGCCAATTCTTTTCAGTTGAAAATGTGCTCATGAAAGAGGGTTCAAGGCCAAGGAGGGGGTCGCACAGAATGACAGAAGTTTGGTTTCACCGAGTAAATCTAATATCCATGCGAGCTCTATCTGGCAGGTAGTCTGGACATGGGCATTTTCCCCAGGGAACAGAAAGGTCGAAGATGTTTTGCAATATTGTGTGGTTCTGTGGAGCATTGCCGGCAGAATTGTTGCCTCATGGTGATAAATAATCGATTAATGTCTTCCGTTTTGAACCCTTTTTTGATATGTGACCCTCCATTCATTTGGTGCCCCGAAAAGAAAATTGCAGTCCCGTCCCAGGAGGGATTCTCAGACATACTTGTTGCATCACAATTCAGTATCGACGAACTTGTCTTTGGGGATTGCATTTTTAAGGTCCTCTTGATGGCGCCGAGTTCTGTACCCCTGACCGCTTGAACTTGGGCATTTCCTCATCCTGTTCCTACCTACTTTCCTAATGGTTTGTCTGTGTTTACGCAAGTCATTCCATTCGCGGTTTACCCGAGAAAGTTTGATGACATGGGTTGTTCGGAGGGTGGTTGAAGCTGCTCCCGAGCTGTTGTAGTTGCCCTTACATCTACCGGCGCAAATCTATGACTCCGCATCCCAGTTGAGTACCGGCAAAAGAAGTCGCATTTCACGTGTTTTCCTTGTCCTTATGCTTGCGGATCATATGCATGAAGACGGTCCTGGCGAGATACAGTGGCAGCAGAAGGAAGAAGAACAAACCGGACGAGTTGGCAGGGGGCTGAACTAGAGTGTTTCACGAATGGGAAGAAGATGAGCATGATCCTTTACCAACGGTGCCGGTAATACGAAAAGAAGACGAAGTGGGTGTGAAAAAATTCGAATTTGAAAGATGCTCTGTTTCCTTAGTTTGTAAGATGATCGATAGACCCATGAACTTATTTCCTCAGTGCTCTCCATCCTGAAGTTCAGGTCCAAGTTCAAATTGGTAAAGAGCACACAGCTGTTCATCGTACCGATTCATTCGAAGAACATATGAGATCGACTAGAGAGCTTGAAAAAAACAAGAATATGTAAGAGAGGTTCATTGACGTATTTCCCATAAAAGCAAATTAGTCAAAATTAAATAATGGGCGTACTTCTAATCTGGGCTGGGCCAGTAAATTGCTTATGAATGGGCGAGCACTTAGTAGCGCCTCTCTGTCGCAATTTGAGCTCTGTTCAATCGAGCCGACCATTGAAGAAGAAGAAGATGATGGAAGAAGCAACGAAAGCATCGCCGTCAGCAGCAGCGGCAGGAGGAGAAGAGGAAGTGTGGAGTTGGGGGGCAGGCACGGACGGCCAGCTCGGGACGGGCAGGCTCGGCGACGAACACCTCCCTCGCCTCCTCTCCCTGTCTCTCCCCTCCTCCATCTCTCTCCTCGCCTGCGGCGGCGCCCACGTCATCGCCTTGTCCTCCGGTACCCCACTCGACTCGACTCGCCTCACCTCCCTCTTCGACATCGTTTCGCTTTTCTGAATTTCCCTTTTGGAGGCAATTCGCCTTCTGGGATTTTACAGGTGGGAGGGTGTTCAGCTGGGGAAGAGGCAGCTCCGGGCAGCTCGGGCACGGTGAGGTGACGAGCAGTTGCTTGACGCCGAAGGCCGTTACGTCCTTGGAGGGTTACTTCATCACCGGTGTTTCTGCTGGTTGGAGCCACTCTGGCTTTGTCTCAGGTGATCAGCTATTTTTTTTCCTTATTTCCGGCATTTCATTCGAGAGTTTTGTGAAGCGACAAATTCCTTGTTTTCCTGGGAGATCTGTCTGTCATGTCCAAGTTCGATGAGTAGAATCTAAGTGGGTCTCTGGTGTCAAAGAGTAATGGATGGAATGTATCAGTAACCGCCAATTCTTTCTTCAGAGACTAATTGGCATCATCGAAGAACACCAATTCACTTCTGAGCTCATTTAGTCTCACTAACTAATTCGTCGAACGTGAGTAGGATTCCGTGTTTTCTGCGATTCAATTGTGTACATACCCTGTTGTGGGTTCAAGATTTGATTTTCTTGAATTTCATCTTTTGATCTATTTCCCTTGCATAGATACCGGACGCCTGTTCACTTGTGGAGATGGCTCCTTCGGTCAGCTCGGTCACGGAGACCATGAGTCGCGTTCCTCTCCTGTCGAGGTCTCATATTTCTTGTCTATGCACGTTGATCAGATAACCTGCGGCATGCGCCATTCGCTTGTCTTGCTGAAAGGTATGAAGAGTTACTATCTGGTTGAATGAATGATACTAAATCTGCTGGGAAGAGGCAGCTACTCTACAAAGACTTGTTCTTCTGGGTAATCAAGTAGTCGAGTCGAAGTTGACTGTCGAAATATCTTGGCTAGTCGGCCATGATTTTTTCGATTCACTTTCTTTTTGTTTGTCTTATAAATGAAACGCAATCCATGCAGGCGATCACAAAAGCCAAGTTTATGGATTTGGGTCATGTAAACGTGGTCAGCTTGGTCCTACCTGTAATACAAAATCGACCAGTCTACCTCAGTCTATCCAAGGACTGGAGAACATTGAGATCATAAGTGTAGTCGCCAGTGGAGATCATAGCGCAGCATTATCCTGTAAGTACTTCGCACTGCATCTTGCTTGATTTGTTCGATCACGTATTCTCTTCATCATTTATGTATGTAATTGTGTATTTAAAAAGAGGGATGATTAGTACTTTTTTTTTCTCTTCCCATGTTTGATTCATCTTACAAGCTGATGGAAGAGCATACACTTGGGGAAGAGGATTCCCTGGCTTTTCTGATGCTCATTCTCCTGTAGAGTTGCCTTCTTCGTTGCCGATCAAGCAGATTGCACTTGGATGGAATCACGCATTGGTGTTAATGGGTACATCAAGTCAACTTTGCATCAAAATCCAGCCTATTTATTCATGACATTTCTCGACAGCGCATCATTGACAAGCTTGTGTTTGTATTTATCACACAGATGGAGGTGAAGCTTTTATTCTCAGAGGAAATCGCCATGGTATTCTGGGAAACCCAGAGAAGCTGGGCTTGGCCAATCATACACCCGGTAGTGCACTTTGAGATGAAATACATGAGAAATGTGCAAATTTTTTACTGATATGATCACACGGTTTTTCATGAACTAGACTTTACTTTATGAATTATTAGTCACAAGGCGCCAAAGAAAATTGTCCAAGTTGACAGTACCACCCCTCGTCGGATTTTTTGGTAATAATGATCTTGAAGACTAACATTGCCTTTTGCTTTGGCAGATGTATCAGCGATGGTTCTAGAGAGAGTCCCTGGTTTTGATGGGAAAAAGGTCATGCAGATTGCTGCGGGAGCTGAACACTCGGCTCTAGTGACAGGCAAGATATCGGCTCGTTTTTCCTTCTAAAGAAATAGACATTCACATTTTCGAAACTCCAATACCTTGCTTTTGTTCTGATTGAAATGCAGAGGATCTGGAAGTAATGACATGGGGATGGGGTGAGCATGGCCAGCTTGGCTTGGGAAGTACTTGCGATTGGATTGAACCTCAAGAAGTGAGTCTAGGTGACACACTTTCAGATCATTGGGCAAAATGTAGTATTTATTGTGGAAGTGGCTTTACCTTTGTGATAATGAGTCGCACTTCGAACGGTCTTCATCAAGATGATTAGTCAATCTCTTGGCGGTTGGCTGTTAAGGCATCCGTTACATCAATCTGCCAAATTATAGAAATCATCCTATAAATGTACAGGATGAGGAGGGAAATCTCCACAACGACAATGCAATTCTGACTGATGAGAGACAGATTCGGTTTTGGCATTTTTTCTTTCTTGCGCAAGTTACAGATAGTTGTATTGCAGATGTTAGCATCAGACTTGTTTATTTTCTTCTTGACTTTGTGACACTTGCTCATTAATCATCGACCAACTTCCGTTCAAGACTGTAACATTTGAACTAGGTACAAGATGGAAAGTTCTTTTCCCAGAGAAACATGTAGAAATTCCTTCATTAGAATAAGATGGCAATCAATGCGGTTAAAAGAGATATAAATATATATCAAACGCCTGGCATAGCTTTACAATTGTGTAAAAGAAAAGGGCAGAAAGATCTATGTAATCATCCTCCATCGGTTAAAGGATATTGAATCTTCTCGAGCAAATGTTTGTGTCAGCTCTCTCTTTCGGATGGCTATGTGATAATGAGCAAGTTATTCTCATATCCGTTGTTATGAACAATTGGCCGCAATGGATCAATCCTCCATACTCCATCGACTATGAACTTTATCTGCATCAAAAAGATCATGAAGGTTGGGAAGCTTGTCCAGAGACAGCAAGGGCTTGTAATTTTAGACCGTCTCAGACTGAACTGGGAGAAGACCTACCTCATATCTTCCAGGATACAATTTGAGGCAAACAGAGAAAACCATGGTGCTTGACTTCTCCATCTTTCTCTGCAATGAAGCACATTACCGAGCATCATTTAGACAAGCTACTCATACGTATGCACAACAGAACGAAAATCTAAAATGTCTGAAGAACTTCTCAACTCATACATAGCAGATCTTGACTCGCTCTCTTTTAACCAGTGCAGATGGAGGGGATAATATGCGTATCCATATCGGTGAGGATTTGTCAAGTCGAAATGTTTAGATCCCGTGTTATTAAAAAAATGAAGCTTTTACAAAGACAAAAAGAAGAAACATTATCACGTTATTTGTTGAGCCACCGAAAGGCTTGAGAATCACTATGATCCTTCAAACAAAAGGTTGACTGCGTGATTTTTTGGGGCAAGATGGACCTGACATGCATTGACCACGCAGATTTTAGCATCCTACAAAAATGCTCCGTGCTCCTACTCGGCATGGATAGAACAACAATTTAATAAACTTGAAGATTATGAGTAACAAAGATTGATTCATGTGCCCTAATCAATTTGATATTATCCAATCTGGGTGCAAAAGATATAAAGCCATGAGGCTTTTTCATGGCCAGAGTACCAAACTTCCACAAGCAAACTGAATAGAAAACTGAAATATAAGACTCATATATACACTTCCACGGGCATTTCACATGTTATTGCAGGTAGAATCTAATTTGACTGCCCATTTCATCCGCAACCATTTGAATACCAGTCCTTACTAGCTTTGAACACTATATAGAAATGTCGTATTTGAAGTGAAGTGATAGTTGCAAAGTACCAAACTTCCTTCATTTTGCAATCTGCCCGGTAAAGTCTCGTTTTTGACAATTTACTTGCATAGTTTCACAGTTTTAATAAAAACACCCATGCTGATTAATTAAGCATCCTAAATTCTGAGGTGGCTCGGAATGTGTCTTGATCTACAAACTAATTAGAAAAAGTGACATGATGTAATAAATGCCCGAGTGTCCTTCCTGATATTTTTAGATGTTTAAGAGGCAATTCTTCCAGGAAACATAAGTGTCTGGCGGTTTGTCAATCGAGTCATTATCCTTAACAAAATGTTCCACTTCTCTGGAAATGTCTCAGTAAAATATTCTGAAACGTGACATAAAATTTGCATATAAGTTTAATAATTAGCTCATAGACGATGTCTGCCTACTCTGATTTATTAACTTTCACGCATATCTTCATAAAAAAATTTCGATTTCGATAAATCCACTAGCTAAACCGTCAAAGCAAATTTATGGGGCAAAAGCAAAAGGTTCGCGACAGAATTTCACAACTACTTCAAAGTTTACCGTGAACGAATACGTAGATCACAACAAAGCGAACTAACCTGAGTGGCCCAACCATCAAATGACCCAGCTAAAAGCACCTCTGTGGCTGAATTTGGCCAAACTATGCAAGCCGTCCGAAGAACTTGTAGAGCTCTACGAGCATCATCAATCTTCCTCTGTTTCTCTTCTGCAATCTTGTGAGCATCTCTGAGTAACAGGAATTAAAAAGGTTATTCTCTAGGATCACGAAAAAGGAAAAATTTGTCAGCTGAAGGGAAATCTAACTCACATAATCGCCAGAGACATCTTTCCTTCAAGAACAGCTAACTTTGCACGCATAGAACGCATTTTGTCTTTGGAATTCATGATCTCATTTTCTTGAAACTCCCAAGCATCAGAAAGTTCCTGCAGGTCATCAGAGATGCTCTCGAGATTCTGCAAAAGAGAAACAATGCATGACAAAAATGAAATGGAGATCTGGTAAGATAGATCGACTTGCTCTGGAGATGCTTTCTCATAAAATGAAGGCACCATTAATCTCACTCAAGCTAGGAAACATAAGTCATGGAGGTGAAAATTTAGTCCATTCACTCGGAGAAATTAGGTTGGCTCTCACTGACTGCACTTTATTTCTTAACAATTGATTCTGCCATTTGAACAAAAGAAAAGCTGATGTTGACTCACTGATATGACGAAAATCCCATGTCACCATATCACTAGGAAGGCAACTTCTCGCGAACCGATTTCTTTTAAGTGATTGCCTCCATCATTTTCCCCATTGCAGAGAGAGAGAGAGAGAGAGATTCTCTTTTTCCCATTGCAAGAGGCAACCATACAAAAGACCAAGTAGTGGGAACTGAACTCCTTGTGCATGTCAACTACATGCACGTTTCCACTACAGATCAAGTGAAACTACCTATAATCTTAGAATCATACAAAAACAAAGAAACTTGCTCCTATTGCTATATAGATGAAGCTCAGCAGCTCACATAATAATGTTAGAGCCATATAATACACCTAGCTTGAGACTATTTCAGCAAAGTATCAATTGATGTACCCGTTGCAGTAATATGCTACAACAAGCTAGATCAGTGCACCACGTGCATGTGGATGACAGATGAAACAAGCATTTCATGAAAGATAGCTGGGTGTGTAAACCTGTCATGTAATTATTAATCTCTTCCATAACTACAGGATTCCAGAAACTATATTTATGAAGTTGTGAGAACTTATGCGCGAATGAGCACACAAAAGCTTATGTACAAAAAGAGCACTGTATTGCAATTACCCACCTCCTGCTCGTCCATGGTAGATTTAGATCTCAAGGAACTAAGTACAGACGAAAGCTCCAACTCTAAGTGCTGAAGCCGATCCTTTATGAAATTATGATTAGCTTCTCCAGCAGAAATGTTAGACTCTTTCTGTCTATTTAAAGGATCACCATTTATCTCCCTCAATTTAAGAATATCACTTTTTTTGAACTCCTTGTCTTTATCGAGTCTATATGCTGCGACATCTATTTCAGCAGCTGCAGATTGCACCAACGAGAAAATAACATTAACTTACACGTTAGAAGGCAAGAACCTGACCCAAATTCCCACCTCAAAATAGTAGGTAGCACACCTTCAAAATCAGAATTTACACATCCAACCCTTTGAGAACTCCATGTTCTCCATGTACCTGGCTGAAGTGAGTTTCTCGCAATATTAATATCCAAAGAAGTCCTGTGTTGACTGAAATTTCTCCCTGTCTCATTGATGATGTCCTTGGAGTTTAATGAGGTAGATTCGCTGCTACTTTCACGTCTAGCAACTGTCTTTTACAAGAAAACATGCATAAACAAGAAATTTTAGTATCTTATGGATGAAGTTACAACTTACTAAAAGATACATAAAAAGCATGCCTTTGGAAATGAAAGCCTCCTATTGAAATTCAGAGCAGTTCAAAGTTATGACATTATACAACCATGAAGACATTCTAACGGGCAATTTTTCTAGCATATTTAATTGTGCATTGATGCATCAACAGAAGACACGGAAGAAGGAAATCATGTCATGCCCAAAACAATTTCTCACTACATAGCTGGAAAAGATGATGTCAATTTAATGAATCTACAATCAAAATCGACATACTTCATCAGCTTGAGTTCTGACAAGCCAATCATCTCTAACATCACTTCCCTTCCCTCTCAATCCAACACCGAATGTTATATCTCTCTCTATCTCCAGCCGACTCAATATGCCTTCAATTCCAGAATTATCCTCGGATAAAGATCCCCTGCAGTAACAGATAGTGCCAACCATATTAATTGTTTGTCCAGCTATCCGAGCTCGCGGAAAATAGCCAAAATGTTGAAAGGTACATTTGAGATAGTTGAGAAGATCAAAACCTACGTACGAAAAGAAAAGCCATAGAAGAGGATAAAAAGATTGAAAGACGCAACTAGCTCAAAGAACAAAAAGCCACCAGCTAATCTGACGAAATTAGCAGACCATTCGAATCCAACAGCATATATAGCCATACATGATACCACATCTTTTTCTAATGCTATAAGTTCAAAAAGGGGCAAAAAAAGTGCCGTTGTACCAATCTATTTTTTTTTTTGAAGATTCACCTACAAGCATAATAGATGCTAAAAAACCCCTGAACAGAATCACTTCTACAGTCTCATACATCTGTGCCTTAAGTCCTAAATAAACACAAACCAAATTCTGTTGGGTAAACCATGGCTATGTGACTTGAACATTATTAATAGCTCCTTCCGTCCCCATGAATCGTTTGAGGAGTAGAGAATGACCCTCAGGCTCGTTTGATCGGCTTGGGATGGTCATGCAGCTATTTGATAGACCACCAAACACCATCTAATCCCATGGCATTGCCTTAGTGGTTCACAGGACTGGTAAGTCAGTTCCCCATACTTCCATGCAGACAATCATATTTGGACCACATGTTTGGGTTTGGACCTACATCCTAGTTGATTCATAAGTTAATGAAATAGTTCATTTTTCCTAGAATATAAGGGCGCCGTTCCTCATCGTCCATTCGCTCAAAAGAAGGCACGATTATCAGTAATGGTAGTACTCCTGTGTTTCCCAAATTTCATCACAAGTCTTGAAGAAAGCTCTAAGGACGTTGGTTTCTGTCACTCAACAAAGTTCCAACAACCCCCTCTTCTGTCACTTTTGGGCATTCCAAGGCCAACGTTCCCACATTGTGGGGTTTGGGGTTAAACATAAGCAACCTTACCCCTGCTTTTGCAGAGATGTTATCTCCATGATTTAAACCTATGACCTGTAGGTCACAATAGAGAAACATAACTATTATTCCATGTCACTATTGAGTTATTTAGAATTCTATCCGTGCTCCGATTATTCATGTGAGATGTTTTTCTGCTCCGAAAAAAAATTCACTTCGAGACGCTTCCTTTCCTCCTACTCTTTTGGGAAAAAAATAAATTCAGGAAGTCCAAACACATTGCTATTCATTGTCACAATTGTGATGCTGACAAATGCTAACCCACTGCTCAAAGGCTATAATACAACATGATATCGGCTGATTGACAAAAGCAAATGTCAATGTCTCTATGAATTTTCAAAACTACGAACGTGGAAAGTGATAGATGACTACCGATTACAACTTGGACTAGCAGCAGGCGGGAGAGGAACAGCGGATTTTCTGTTAACAAAGGAGACTGAAATGAAAACACTTCAGGATAATGGAAGAACAAGATTGACGCAACTTCAGACTTGCATATTAAAATTCTAATCTGAAGCCTCTAGCTTGCCACATAAAAGTAATATAAGGACTTTCCCCGGCTTATGTCCTTTTCTATAGTGTGTTCTAGATATAGAAATAGAACGCAATGCCAATCTAGAATCCTCTCAAAGTTTGCAAGCGGTTACAGAGCACTAGAGATATATAAGAGAAAAAAGAATTGTTAGCTATAGAAATCACGAAAGAATCTCACGTGGATCCACAGGACGAAGAAACTGAACCAGAGAAATTAGAAGAAAATGGAGAAACCCCCGGGCTGCCATTGCCCTCCAAAGTTAAGCTCTCTTGATTTTCATTAATCCTTTCTTGAAGTATCCCGTAGTCGAAATCGTCCGATTTCGCAGACCCAAAATCCCTAAAGTCGCAGTCATCCTGAACCATACTTTCGTCCTCGCCATCCAAATCCCAGCCCAACGAAAGCCATCCACCTTGCCGCAGAATGGCTTCGACCAAATCCATCCTCCCCGCATCAATCAGCTGTTTCTTGGTGGGAAACAAGTCGGGGTTCCCAGAATCCCTCATGAACTCAAAAATCTCAGCCTCCAAATCCCAATCCCCTTCCCTTTCCCCGTTCCTCTTGCACCTCCTCGCAAACCCAGAACCCCCACGAACAGGACGACGTTTCCTCCTACCGTTATCAGGTTTCCCCAGCAACGAACCGCTCTTCGAAGGCGAGACGAGATTCAACGTCAAGACCTCCGCCCCAGCTCTCCTTCTTCTGGTTCTCGGGTCGAAAACCAAGAGGAGAGGAGGCGGATAAGCGCGAGCGCCGGCGTCTAGGAAGAAATGGCGCAGCACGACGAAGTGGGGGGAAGCCGGATTGAAGGAGAGCATGGCTCAGGCATTTCGTCGAACAGTCGGTGCGCGAGCCGGACAAGTGGGGAGCTGAAACAGCGGTGGCCACAAGAAAAGCGCGCGCGAGAAGCAAAGAGAGGAGATGGGAAGAAGCCACGGCCCACGGGCAGTACTACGGAACAAGACGAGAGCGAGCGGGGCAAGCAACGAACAATGGCTACGGAAAAGCGTGACAGTTAATCAAGGCACCGTGGGACGAGCGCTGCGTGGGAGTCACAGCCACAGGATATATATAGTTAGTTTGATAAAGCATCGATTAACTAATTGATCGAAGCCCTTTGTTCTATGTTTGGATTGGAAGCAGATGCCCCTGAAACTGAAACCCTTACTAAAAACCAAATTAATTATGAACCGATTCGATTTTCAAGACATTAATTACCATAGCCCGAGAGAAATTAGCACGATAAGTGCCCTGGAAGTGCTCGTTAAGAAAATCCAACACAAAAAAAATGCATTTATTTTATCTAGTGCGATGCATAAAAGAAAAAACTAATCGATGCAAAACGTTATGGTCGCTCGTTGACATGAACACTAATGGTGATGGGCTCCCGGATCGGTAGTTTCCAAGATCCAAACCCGGAATGCACTTTGTCACGGTTGGTATCTAATTTTTGAAATTTGAAACCGACCCTATTGACCATGGAACTGCACCTACCAGTCCAGTTCGATTCCAGAGTCAACGCGGGAACCGTCTTGCTCCCATTTTTTTGTTTCATTTTTTTCTTTATTCCTTGAAATGGCAAATTTTACATGTTAGTTATCAAAAGCTTAAAACCCAGATGTAGGTTCAGAGGTAGATCGAGATTTGTTCTAATTGCTTGACTAGTACACTGGTTGAATTATCTGAACATAGTAGAAAAAATGGCTCTTACTCTTTCAATGTGCGTATCCATCAGTATGCAATGTTTTAACCACGATACTAAACAATAAAACGGAGAAGTAAAACACTTGCGCAAAACAATCAAAATCTATGCAACGGGGAATGAGAGAGATAGAGAGAGTGAGAGAGCGAGCAACTGGTGAGCAACAAACAAACCCAAACCTTGTGTTGATTGGGGTGCAATTGGCGAGCAACGAACAAGAGAAACGGAAAGAGTCGTGAGTTAAGCAATTGAGCAACGAACGAAAGAGATAGAGAAAATGAGATGAAAAGAGAGAAAGAGGAAGAGGTGGCAACAAGAGGTCCACAAGATAGAAAGTAGGGTTAGTCTCAATCCACTCTAAGGTACTGAACCTGGAATCGAATCGGTCAAGAGTGGTTCCAAAAATTTAGAATCGAGAACCGAACGATCCCCGCAAGAACCAGCCGGTTCAATCCAGTTCTCGAGTTGAATCAAATCAATGCTCAATCCTAACGTACATAACTTATAAACTTTTCACATCATTAGATAAAAGTAAATTGATTACGTAAGGGTAATGTCAAAACCGTTTCACGATGTCATTAGATGATATTCAATTTGATCAATTTAGTCATGTCTTTGATTCAAACTAATTTATTTCTTCTAATTGATATGGTTGCTCTTTTTCTCTCCCCGTGTTGCTCTTTGTTAGTACTTTTTAAATTTGGTTGACATGGCTATTGATGTCTACAATCACAACAGCAAAAAGTGGCCTTGCGGTTGATCGGATTTTGGTTCTAATAAGAGAATATAAGCTAAGTGCTCAAAATTAAATTAAACATTACCTAAGAGTTTGGTTAATTGATTTTTAGGAAAAAGCTACTAAAAATCTCAAATTATATCCACTGTAATACATTTATTTTGAATTTACATAAAAACTCCAAACTATGCCCAATTTGACTCATTTATCCTAAACTTTTTTATATGACATAAAGAACTCAAAACTTGTACCTATGTACATGTAAAGGTTCCGTTAGATGATTTTTCAATTAAAACGTCACTTTTATTTCACTTAAGTCATGTGAGCGCCATGTCAATACTGTTTGTTTTCCAGTGTCTATGTGGGTAGATTTTTAACGGTGCTCATTGACGGAACATTAATGAAGGATAAATGTGTTATACAAGCACAAGTTTGGCATTTTTTGTGTTATAGGAATAAGTTTAGTGCAAATGTGCCATAGTAGGTATAATTTGAAATCTTTTTACGGTATTTTTTCGAGAAACCGAACGAAAGAAATACACGGACTCGAATTTCTTTTCTCTAGAATGAATTTATGTTTGGTTCTGCTTCTCTTCAAGGGCCGTCAGTGTGATCCATCGGGAGGCTGGGAGCGAAGGAGAGGCACGTGACGTGGCAATGGAGTGGTCAGATCAGATGCGTGGGGACAGGACGAGATTCCCGTTCTGTTTTAAAACAATAGCGGCGAGACGAGGCGCCGGTTCCTCTCGGATTTGACCGGCGCCGGATCTTGAGCTCATTATTAGCTCCTGATTCGCCTCATAATTCGGGGACATAACCACCCGTGCGGTCACGTGGTGACGGTCCCGCCCCTCCGGCATCGTCTGTCGCTAAGAGCCCATTCGGCAACTTGCCAAATAGTAAAAATTTCTGTTTGTTTATTCCCAGAATCAATTTGGGAACAGAAATCCGTTTGTTAAATTTTTTGTGCCCGGACACAATTTTGAAAAAAATTATTTCCAGAATCAGTTTTGGAATAGAATAAAGAAGCAAAAAAAAGGAGCTTCTTGATTCTAGATCAATTTTTCCTTTTTTGATTCTTCTTGATTTTCTTTTTTGTTTTGGTTTGTTGTTGTTCTTCGACCTGCCGCCCGCCACCCTCCGGCCGCCGGCGACAGGCCACAGGCCAGGGCCGGCGAGGGCATCGTGGCCCTCACTGGTGGCCGACGAGGGTGGCTCGCGACCGCGACGGCGAGGCCTCGCCCAGATCTAGCGAGGCCAACCTCATCGTCGCCAACCCAGGCGACGGCGAGGTCGAGCCTCGCCCAGCCAAGGCGAGGCCGACCTCGCCGTTGCAACCAGCGAGGGCGGCGGCGAGGGCCGCGATGCCCTCGCCGGCCATGGCCAAGGAAGGGAAGGGAAAGAAAGAAAAAAAAAGGAAAAAAAAGAAAGAAATATTAAAAAATTCAAAATATTATTAATAAAATGAAATTTTGTGTAGTTACTAAACGCATTTATGTTCTTTTTCTATTCTAAGAATAGAAATTTTGGGCAGTTACCAAACGCTTTCAAATGCTTAGAAATTATTTTCGGGTACGGAATAAAAAAAGAATCATTTCTGAGCAGAATCCGTTCCCGGGCATAGAATGGTTGCTATGCGCAGCCTAATTGTGATGGAGTGCGTGGCGTGGTGGGAATTGTAATGGAGGAATGGAAAGAAAGAATGAAATTGACGGTCCAATCCAGTCCAGTTCCGGTCCAGTCCAATGAAATCGATTACTTTTTTTTTATCTCACTACGTGATGCTATCTTTTCATGTTGAATTAAGTGATATGTACGTAATGATTCTCAAATTGAAAAAAGCGAATAAAAAAACGTGATTCACTTAAAGTTTAGTTCACATTTTACTAATTTTTTTGAAGAAATAAAAAATAAAAAATATATATGTAGTCGGTCCAGTTCGGTTCCCTTTGGAACTGGGAATTGGACTGACAATCCCGAGAACCGGACCAAACCAGCTGGTCCGGTCTGGGTGGTTCCTGATTTGGGCGATCCGTTTTGCACATCCCTAATTTGGGACAACCAAAAAAGAATGAGACATGTGCACTAAAATTTTAAAACTTGTCACGAAAATGCAATTGAGTTCAAAACTTACGAACATTGTAATCAAGTTATTAAACTTGTCAAATTGGTTCGATTGAATGCTTCCATTAATTCCGTCCAACTTGGCTAACAGCAAATGCTGATGTAGTTTTTTTTTAAATATTTTCTTTCTCCTATGTGGTAATGACGTGGCTAAAACACAAAACACAATACTAAAACGACCTCGTTTTAATCCAAATCTGGTTTTTAATACAAATATTATTTAAATTAAATTGAAAAATATTTTTTTTTTTAAAAGAAAGAACTAGGCGATTAGGGATTTGTAGCCCTTGTTGTTGCCGCCTCACCATCGCCGAGAAAGGCTAGCGATAGTGGAAGAGTGGTCGGCGGGGGTTGCCAAGCCCTGGCTAGGGGTCGGCGAACCATGCTAATCGCAAGTGAGGGCCGGCAACCCTCGCCCGATCTGCGTCGTTGACCATTCCTCGACCGTCGCGTCGGCCTTTCTCGGTGATGGTGGGGCGGCCCTTGCCGCCTGGTTTTTCCTCCTTTTTTTAACTTATTTTTATTTTATTTAAATTTAAATAAAAATTGTATCTTACAAGCTCATAACAACTTTTTTCCCATAAGGTACTCTTACTTGGACATTAAGAAAATCACAAAAAAAAATTCAAACACAAATAGGGGAAGGAGGTTATGGCTCCGTATACAAAGGAATATTTAGAAGTGGCAATGAAGTTGCAGTTAAGATTTTGAACAAACCAAAATCTAATGGCCAAGATTTTATGAGCGAAGTGACTACTATTGGAAAGATCCACCATGTTAATGTGGTGCAACTTGTTGGCTTTTGCTTTAACAACTCTAAACAAGCTCTCCTGTACGATTTCATGCCAAACGGATCTTTGGATAAACACATTTTCTCTAAAGATGGGGATGATTCTCTTGATTTTAAGAAAATATATGAGATATCTCTTGGTGTGGCTAGAGGGATAGAATATTTATATCGGGGATGTGATATACAAATTTTACACTTTGACATCAAGACTCACAATATTCTTCTAGATCAAAATTTCACCCCAAAAGTTTCTGACTTCGGGCTTGCAAGACTTTATCCTGTGGACCACGACATAGTGTCATTAACCGCTGCAAGAGGAACCTTGGGATATATGGCTCATGAGCTATTCTACAAGGACATTGGTGGTGTCTTGTATAAAGCTGATGTCTATAGTTTTGGAATGTTGCTGATGGAAATGGCAAGTAGGAGGAAAAACGCTAAGGCAAATATTGAGCGTTCAAGTCAAGTTTATTTTCCTTTGTGGGTTTATGATCAACTCAGCAAAGAAAACGAGGTTGAAATGGAAGAAGTAGAAGGGGAAAGGGAGACATCGAGGAAGATGGTAATAGTTGCCCTTTGGTGTATACAGTTAATCCTTGATGATCGGCCATCAATGAGTAGAGTCCTGAGCATGCTTGAAGGAGATATTGATATATTGTGACTGCCTCCAAAACCGCTTCTGTATCCATTCGAGAAGCCAGTTGATGATATGGACACTGAAATAGAACTTGAATCATTCTCAACCACATTAAGTGCTCCAACAATTTGTGAACGATATCGATTTTAGAATAGCAATGAAATTACGGAATCATGCATTGTATGATTTTCTTTTCTCCATGTTTGAATGTATGTAACATAAACATAGTTCCGTCAGGAGCATAATTGACCATGTAATTCGTGAACGTATATGATTTTAGCGTTTGTTACATCCTGTGTTTTGCAGATGAGCTGCCACATGGCTCTGTTTACATTTCTTGTTTCCCGAGTGCTCCTTATATGACAGACCAAGCTCGACTTGTATGGACCAATGAGTCTCGCTCTCTCTCTCTTCACTCCACCGTCCAATATCAAGCTCTCCCCTTCCCGCCAAAACCTCTCACCCTCGCTCCTCGACCGCCGCCCGATCTCCCACCTTGATGTCGGCCACTTCCGCGGAGCAATCTCCCACCTCGACCTCCTGTACCGTGATGAGTCCCATCCCGATCTCCTCTCCTTCTCTCTCCTCCTCATGTCCTGCATTCGTTCCCAAGGGTTAGCGCTCGGAAGGTGTGTCCATTGCGTGCTCGCTCAATCCCAGCTTTAGCCTAACTCGGTGATTCTTAACTCGCTCATCAGTCTCTACTCAAAATCCAATGACTGGGCTGAGGCGCCGAGGACTTTTAGGGGCATGGGTAATAAAAGGGATTTGGTTTCTTGGAGTTCCATGATCTGTTGCTATTCTAATAACCACATCGCATTTGAAGCAGTCAATACTTCAACCAAAAAACAAAAAAAATAAGCAGTCGATACTTTTCGTTCATATGATTTTTTCCCTCTGGCTTGTTCGGTTCCGAAGAATGCATCAATGGGTGATAAGAGTTTCGGGGTGATAATAAAAAGGAGGCTATCTTGATTCTGATGTGTGTGTTGGGTGTGCATTAATTGACACGTTTGCAAAGGATAGTGCTGATTTCGTTTCGTTTCAGTTCATAAGGTGTTTGACAAAATGCTCGAGAGGAATGTGGTTGCTTGGACTTTGATGATGACAAGATGTACTCAGTTGGGGTGTCCAAAGAAAGCTGTTGATTTTTTTTTGGATATGCTGGTGAGTGGGCCTGTGCCAGATGGATTTGCTAACATAGCTGTTTTGTTGGCATGCCGGAGTTGGAGTTACAATTGCCTGGGGAGCCCTTGCATTCCTGGGTAATACAGTCTGGGTTGCTTCGGATATCTGTGTTGGATGCAGTTTGGTGGACATATACGTGAAGTCTGTAGCTAGTGCATGCTTCATGATTCGAGAAAGGTGTTTGGTCGGATGCAAGATCTTAATGTGATGTCCTGGACAACGATAATCACAGGATATGCGCACACTGAAGAGAATGAGGTGGATATCAAACTCTTTCGGGAAAACAAAAGGTCCAGTGAGGCCAAAGCAATCATTTGCTAGTGTTCTCAAGGCTTGTGGAAGTACTTGTGATGTAGATATGGTAAAACAAATGTGTATGCGCTAGCTATGAAAGTGGGCTTTGCCTGTGATACTTGCATGGGTAAAAACTCTAATTAGCATGTATTGCCGGTCGGGCCACATGGAAGATGCAGAGAGCTTTTGATGCACTAAATGAAAAGAATTTGTTTTATTATAATATCCTTGTTGAGGGCTATGCTAAAAGTTTGGAAGATTGAGTAGGGAGGAATCGGAATGAGTGCTTTTACACTAAGAGGAGCTGTCTACATTGGCGTTATGGGTAAGGGGAAGCAGATCCATGCAAGGATGGTAAAATCAGGGCTCGACTCAAATAAGTGCATTTCCAATGCTTTGATCTCTATGTATTCAAGGTGTGGAAACACATGAAGCTGCTTTTCGAGTTTTCAGTGAGACAAGAGAGAAATATTATAACTTGGACTTCAATGGTCACTGGTTTTGCAAAACATGGATTTGCTACAAGAGCTCTGGACACATTCCATAAAATGCTTGAGGCCAGTGTGAGGTCAAATTAGATCACCTGTATTGCTGTTTTATGCTCGTTTAGCCATGTGGGTTTGATTTATGATGGATTGAAACACTTTAGGCAATGTACAAAAAACATATGCTCAAAATCAAACATTATGCATTCAAGGTGGACTCATCGAGCATATCAGATCCCTTGTCGAAGCCCTTCAGTTTATAAATTCAATGCCTTCCAGGGCTGATAAACTAGTCTAGCATAAATTTCTTGGAGCTTGCTGAGTTCACAACAACGTTGAACTTGCAAAACAAGCTGCAGCAATGATTTTTTAGTAGGAACGGGACAAACCTCCTGCTTATAATTTGCTACTGAATATGTATGCGTCAGCTGATCTATGGGAAGATACAGCAGCAATCAGAAAGAAGATGAAACTGAAAAAACTTCCAAAAGAAGCCGGTTGTAACTGGAGTGAGGTGAAAAATATAGTTCCTGAGTTCTATGTGGGTGACACTTCACACCAAAGGCATCGGAGATCTATCACTACTAAGTGGAACAATTGGCCAGTCATATAAAAAAACTGGGTTATGTTCCGAATACTGAATTTGTTCTTCATGATGTGGAGGAGGGACAAAAGGAACAATATTTGCCTTAGAACAGTGAGAAAATTGCTGTTGTTTTTGGCCTTAGAAGCATCTCTAGTACAAAATCTATCAGGGTATTTATGAATATTTGCATTTGTGGAGATTGTCATTCTGTGATCGAGTAAATCTCCATGGCAACTGGAAGATCTATAGTCATAAGGGATGCAAACAGGTTCCACCATTTTATGGACGGAACATGCTCATGCAATGGCTACTAGTTGGTGATGATGCTTCTTGAATTGTATTGTTCATTGGGTGCATCGAATCTCTGTTTTAGATGTTTCCCCTTTATACCTATGTTACTTGAACCGGGATTTACTTATGCTCCTTGCAAGCCCAACAATGTAAATATCATGTCCTGAATTTTTTATGGATTCAGTACTCCTACTGTTAAAATACCAAGCAGAAGACCTTAAATGGATCTCGCACCTTTCAGCAAAATGATTCATTGAATGTAAAACAGTCACGCCTTTTCCATTGGGATTTTCTTAGAGCAAGCAGTTTTTCGGATACTAGATATTGATGTTCCGTTCTGTTCCAGAGCGTTTCCAATGTCACTAGAATCTCGCAAACTCTCAGCAATATGATTCATAGAATCTAAAACAATCACATTTTTTTCCTTTTGGATTTTCCTGGAACAAACGGTTTTTCACATACTAGATATTGATGTTTTGTTCTATTCCAGAGCGTTTCCAATGTCGCTAGGATCTCGCAATCTTTCAGCAATATGATTCATGGAATCTAAAACAGTCACACTTTTTCCTTTGGGATTTTCCAGGAGCAAGCAGTTTTTCACATACTAGATATTGATGTTTTATTCTATTCCAGAGCGTTTCCAATGTCGCCTGGGTATATCACCACGGCTAATGGTTTGATCCTTAATTATAATTCATTTATTTTACCCATATCATGATCTAGGCGAGTCAATACATACAATTGCCAATAGGCATGTGACCCTGCTTGTAAAGGGGTTGGGGATTGGGGCCGAGCAAAACCAAGTCCGAGATTTAATCCCCGTGAACATCGCACACACATGTACACAGAGGAGAGAAGTGAGACCAAAAAAAAATACACGTTGTTACCATACCGACCAGAGGAGGTGGAGGAGGCATAGGGAGCCGATAATGATTGCGAACCGAACCGATCATAGGAAGATTGCTAATTCGATTTATCACGCGAGAATCGTCCACCTTGTCCCCGACCAGATTTACGACCTCTAGAATTACGTCCACCTCGAGATCCTCGAAACGGTGGACTGGGTGAAGTGGTATGACCGAGCAAAGCATGATGAATATCAGATGAAGATGATGCATTGGATTTTCTGAGAAATCGTTCTTCTTGGATGAGGAGGCGTGACCGCAGATCACCAAACGAGAGAATTGTAGGGCCGTTTGTGACCATAGTGACAAAAGGATTATACTCAAATGGGAGCCCATTGAGGACTTGAATCACCAAGTCCTTGTCAGAGACAGAGCAATTGATTGCGGTGAGAGAGTTCGCAATTGACTTCAGATGCTGGAGATAATCAGACATTGACTGATCGGGTTTCTTCATGGTATTTTGAAAATCCAATTTTAGTCCAATTTCATTGGCCGCGCAGCGATCGGTAAAACGTTGTCCTAGAGCAAGCCAAATCTCCCGAGATGTCCAAAGGTCGTGAACTTCACGGAAAATTTCGACTGTGAGGGTCGAATTGATCAAACTAAGAATACATTGATCTGTCTTTACCCAAGTGGAATATGAAGTATTGACCACTATAGTGCCAGTCTGATCATTGATAAGCTTCGGCGGACATGGAAAAGAACCATCCACATAGCCCAACAGATCGTTACAGATTAAAATAGATTCAAACTGAGATTTCCACAAAAGATAATTGTCTGCATCGAGTTTGATGGAGATGAGACTTGTGATGTTGGGAAGAACAAGAGACGACGAGGATGATTGCATAGCCGTAATTTGAGCAGCAGTAGAGATCGGAGCAGTAGTGAAGAGGGAAGAAGGGGGGAAAGTGGGCGCCCTATTATCGGGAGGCGATGGGAAATTTGGATTAACAGAAGAAGAAGATGGTGGGTCAAGAGATGGTAGAGAAGAAGAAAAATTTAGAGATGTATTGGACATTGTTGAGATAGTAATTGGAACAAAGGAAATGTTGATTTGGGGTAGAGATGTTGAAGAATTCAATTCGTTTTCCTACTCTGATACCATGTTGATGTTTGGAGACAAAGAGAAAACAACGACAAAGCGTTTATGGTGGCTCAACCCTAATTAGGGTTATATGATATGTATTTATAGGAGTGACTAATTACAAAAAGGGTACAGATAGAAACATAATTACATAAATACCCCATAATACATATAAATTACACATTAATAAT